ACCGTCAGAGTCCCGGAGTGGGCGCTCCATCGCCCTCTCCGCCACCCTCTAGGCTGGTCCCGGTGCAGCCCCCGCCATCGTCTAGATCTCTGTCAAGGGAGTCGCTCATGTCCTCTAACGGGGGTTCAGATGCCAGCAGCGAGGACAGCGAGGAAGGTAAGGACGGTTATTACCAGAAAACTTAATTGAATTAAGTAGATGTGCTTGAATTTGGTCTTCATTAGCGAAAGTTGAAAGTATCGGTTGCTGGTCTCTCCAAAGGGACTTGTAGGGTTTATTAAATTTAAATACTGTCTGGTAGAAACTTGGCGTACAAATTAAAGCATCTAAGAAATATAAATATAATATCATGATTCATTGAAAGCAGTTTTCGTGTACTTAAGGAATTGAATGTGAAGAAGAGGAAGTACGTTTATCAAGTTTTACGGTCAGAGTCATATGAGCAACTAAATAAGATGGTTTTATTCTGTCTTCTGTCGGCAGCAGCGGCAGAGTGCCGCCATCTGTAGCTGGTGCAGCAAACGACACACTCGGAAATCACAGACCATAAAATAATTAAGGAAACTGCATGGGAAAACACAATTAGAGTAACCTCCAATTCTACTATCTAATAGATGTCGCTGTACCATAATGGCGGTAAATTTAAATGTAACAAAATACACTAAGAATAAAAAGTATTTCATAAGTAATAGATCACAAAACAGCTACTAATAGTCGAACGTGAACCATTAACAGCTGTTCCATGACCCATTACTTATGAAACACTTTAAATCACTTGGTTAAATGAAAAAGTTAAAGCAGTGATATTTAAATGTGTGACAAATATACAAATTCATTCTGTTATGAATTCGAAAATATTTAAGTATCAAAAAAATGTGCAGAGGGACTTGTAATTATGATTTTTTTTAAACCATTAAAAACTGCAAAATTTAAGGAATTTGAAAGAATTATTTACGTGCCTTTATGTAAAATACATTACACAGTTACTTGAGAAAAATTATGGTTAGATACATTTGTTTCGAACTAATTGGTGTTCATCAGTACGATGTAATGTACTACACTTATAGCACTTATAGCAAATAACAATTGAATATGTACATTTCGGTTTTTTATAAGATGGAGGTGAAAAATCATCGTAAATTGAAGTTTGGCAGCTCGTACTCTGAAAATTCTGTAATGTTTCGTTAACAAATTGTTTTGCTGAATGTTGGATACTATCCGAGGATTCCGAGGTGATATTATTACAATTAATAGGTGAACTTGTAGTTGATCCTAAAAATAGTGTCGCACAGCACAATTACTGTTTTTTAGACATTTTAACTCAAAATGGATCAATTCACAAAAATAATGATCTGATTGTCGGAGTAAATTCTCATTTACATAATTTTCGAACTGATTCTATCTACAGTGATTGTCTGTAATTCTGAAAAAACTTTTATTTCTATAGAATGTATTACAGATATTCATATAGTAGCAAATGCTTTTGCAATTTGGAGCACAACATTGACGTTTAGTTCTACCAGGTAAACTCATTTTGGATAAAACGAATAAAAAAACAGTACTTAAGGCAGTTCAGACGATTGATTCAATAAACCCCTTATTACATTAATCTAAAACAAAACAAATTTATTAATGCACAAAACGCGACAACCTACCTGAACATAAACTATAACCTCAAACATTCTATTTCTGTATCTGTATTTTCTGTTTTCTGTTGTTTGAAATATTGGAAATACAAGGCTTTTTTTCGCGAGTGTAGTGGTATGTTGTAGTATGTGTAGTGAATAGATTTAAACTACCATAATGACAACTAAGATCAAAAGAGATAGAAATAGTTACTACAAGTCACCAATATTCACCAATATTCAGTCGCGAAAAAAGGCCTACAGATTCTATTTGTGGTTGCAGATTTCTGTTTATCAATTTCTAAAAAGGACAATGTTTTGCTGCACCAACGCGAGATGGCCTCAGTGAATTAATGCACCGTCCGCCCTATCCAATAAATCCTCTTATTTATTTACTCATATGGTTAGAGTCAAGATTTTTCAATAATATTAAGAGATGCTGCAATGAATTCAAATTAAATTATTATTAATATTAAAATGATTAAAAAATAGTAGATACCATTGGAAATTTATTATAAANTCTGTGTAAACCCCGGGGGTGGTGTCATGTTTATGGTTGGGTAGGGTAGTGCGGCTATGCAGCCTGGGATGCGCTTTGCTAAGGTGGCCCTTAGGCTAGCGTGGGAAGGGAGAGGTAAGGAGGGTATGGGGGGGTGTGTATGTGTGTGTGTGTGTGTTTGTGTGCCTCGGACACCGATCTTCGGTATGGATCCAGACATGTGGAGTCTCCGAATTTGTGCAATTCATGGCGCTGTTGATTTCCGCGTTGTGGAATCTGGCTGTTATTTTAGATGCAACTCTGTCTCGTGTCCCAGCTCGAATTTCGTGGCATTTCTAGGGTTTTTGCGGAGAAATTTTAAACTGGGGTAAAATTTGGGGCTGTCCAGATGTATGCTGCGATTTGGAGTGTTTAGAAGGGTTTGAAGCTCTGTGATTAGTTTGGTGTTAGGATTGGAAACATAGGTGAAAATTTCGATTCAAAACATAGGAATTTTATTAAGAAACGACTGTATTTGTTTATTTCGAGCTTTTAAAGCTAATTGTAGTTCGTACCTCTTCCTTGTTTACATCTCGGTTGTGAGTTCACCTCACCTTTAACACCATAAATCAAAGAACACACCGAGGTACGTTATGATGTAGGATCGAAGAACATAACAATGCTTTTATCGTATCATAAACCTTGCCGAAGTACCGGTTAGAGGAAGCTAAATAATCTCGGGGGGTTATCTGAGCGGATATGCCGATTTATTTACTTTGTTTCGTTTTATTTTAAGAGGGCTTTGAGTAAACAACGGGAACACGATCGGACAGAATTAGAGGTTAATTAACAAATCTCATATTTCAACGAGAACGACATCTTTGATATTGGGCGGGTGTATTTACCCGATTTATGTTTCACATAGGCGTAACAGAAAGTATTAATAATTAAAGTCTAGTTTTCAAAAAGGTGTTAAAAAAATAAGAAATTCCTCCATGGATAAGGCCGGTCCTGTCAGCGCCCCTGCAACTTGACACTTTGGTTTGAATTACGCCCAACTCCAAGTAGTTGCGAAAGAAGTCGCGGCATATGCTTTCACCTCGAAGCCCCCTGGAATAAACGGCGCGACGTCAGATCCAGATGCAAATGCCGACGTGTACATAATGTAGTGGAAGGCTGAAATTAAAAGTAAAAGCAAAACAACGGCCAGAATAAAACGTCCAACGGTGACACGAGAATGCATTAGCGTCGTCTGGGAGTCGGGACTTCCTACTCGCTCCGAATATATGCCGGGCAATTTGAGAGACACGAGCTGGGAAAATAAACAACGCCGATGGACGTTACAATAAAAGTATCCCTATAAAAATAGATACGAATCGCCCGAATGGAAACGGTAAGAAGAATGGTCGAATCAAATTAATTTTGTTGAATGCTGGTTCTTATGTAGGACATCCATTGATAGATTTCCGATAAACAAACAAACGTTTTATTTGTGTCAGCTACTATTAAGGTGCATTTTCATTTTCCGTCTAAAAAAAAAAACGGGATATTGAGGTGGGTTATGGCATAAAGTATCACTTACTAATACAAAAATAAGAGATATTTTCTTCTTTAATTTAAACGTAACGATGTCAGGTATGTTTTTTCTCGTGTTTTTTCATTGGAACTACATATTTGCTAAATTAATTTTTATTTGTTTTTAATGATTATTAAAGGTCAGCTGTTTGTGGATATTTGGTATAAAAATGTATGAGTATACTTCACTATACAGAATTGAAATATTTTGTTATATATTTATATCTATTTGATAAAATGAGTCATTATCAACATATTGAAATATTTTTCCATGCCTTTCAACTACTGCTCTCTATAGTTGATCTTTTGGTTAAGCTACCTTCTGCTAACACTTGTGTTGTTCTTGTATTGATAAACAATAATTGTGTGATACCATTGTTTGAATATTGTATATATTCGGTATTTTCCATGATTGTGATAAAACTGTTTAATTTACTAAACAAATAAATATTTGATACCAACAATCAATCAAACCGTAATAATCTGGAGGTAAACCAACTATACTTCAAATTTTGAGTACATTTGTTAAATTAAAATATTTAAATAACAAGTAGAAACAAAATATTTGTCAAAAGAATTTCCTGGTTCTTAAACTATTTTTAACTTGATTTGTTCAAGTTGCAATTTATTAAAAAATCCATCAGCATTAGATAAAAAATTAACTGTATACTCTTTTCCATTTTAATTTACGGCAACTATAAAAATAAATACTTTGATCATCAAAGCAAATCGTTAAATGTTTATGGAATCGTGTAATGGCAATTAAAACTGTGGATAAAATATCTTAAAATTATGATACTGCAACGGCAGTTTAATTAGACCACTTAGCACCACTTTAGTTTGTTAGAAGCTGCATTATATTAATTATAGCATTACATCTTATGATCTAAAATATGGTTTTTATTGTACTCCATGGTCTACAAATTTGAGTGACGCCTTAGATTGATAAACGCATTAAGGGGTGGTAAAAGAAGATTGAAAGCATCCTTAACGTTTTGGTAATACCTACAGAGTGTTTCGTTTAAAACTGCCATCCATAAAGCAACGAAGTAGGTATCAATTTGTAGTCGAATTCAAATCATTTATAAGACTACTCATAATAATTTTTACAGAATTTTTATCCCATTTATGGGATAAGAACGTAGACTTTATTGAAAAATTATGTCGGGAAAATGCACATTAAAAAAGTCTTTCCCAAGTAGAAAAAGAAATAATATTTAAACGGCATTTGTTGCTAGCTTTGGTCCGTAGTTCTATTTTTCCTTTCCTTCCTTTTATTTTCTTTGGAACCAAACTGAAACGAACTCTATTGTTACAGAAGCGATGCCTTCTTGGAGCCCTACCTCCAGGGCCTCGGAGACCGTCAGAGTCCCGGAGTGGGCGCTCCATCGCCCTCTCCGCCACCCTCTAGGCTGGTCCCGGTGCAGCCCCCGCCATCGTCTAGATCTCTGTCAAGGGAGTCGCTCATGTCCTCTAACGGGGGTTCAGATGCCAGCAGCGAGGACAGCGAGGAAGGTAAGGACGGTTATTACCAGAAAACTTAATTGAATTAAGTAGATGTGCTTGAATTTGGTCTTCATTAGCGAAAGTTGAAAGTATCGGTTGCTGGTCTCTCCAAAGGGACTTGTAGGGTTTATTAAATTTAAATACTGTCTGGTAGAAACTTGGCGTACAAATTAAAGCATCTAAGAAATATAAATATAATATCATGATTCATTGAAAGCAGTTTTCGTGTACTTAAGGAATTGAATGTGAAGAAGAGGAAGTACGTTTATCAAGTTTTACGGTCAGAGTCATATGAGCAACTAAATAAGATGGTTTTATTCTGTCTTCTGTCGGCAGCAGCGGCAGAGTGCCGCCATCTGTAGCTGGTGCAGCAAACGACACACTCGGAAACCACAGACCATAAAATAATTAAGGAAACTGCATGGGAAAACACAATTAGAGTAACCTCTAATTCTACTATCTAATAGATGTCGCTGCACCATAATGGCGGTAAATTTAAATGTAACAAAATACACTAAAAATAAAAAGTATTTCGTAAGTAATAGATCACAAAACAGCTACTAATAGTTGAACGTGAACCATTAACAGCTGTTCCATGACCCATTACTTATGAAACACTTTAATTATAACTTGGTTAAATGAAAAAGTTAAAGCAGGGACATTTAAATGTGTGACAAATATACAAATTCATTCTGTTAGGAATTCGAAAAGAATGTACAGGGAGACTTGTAATTATTATTTTTTAAAAGAAAGCATTAAAAACTGCAATTTTAAAGAATTTGAAAGAATTATTTACGAGCCTTAATGTGCGTGAATGAAGGGATTTATACTATCATATGACAATTAAGATCAAAAGAGATAGAAATAGTTACTACAAGTCAGATATTCACCAATAAGACCTACAGATTCGATTTGTGGTTGCAGATTTCTGTTTAACAATTTCTATAAAGGACAATGTTTTGCTGCACCAACACGAGATGGCCTCAGTGAATGAATGAACCGTCCGCCCTATCCTATAAATATTCTTATTTATTTACTCATATGGTTAGTCAAGATTTTTCAAAAATATTAAGAGATGCTGCATTGAATGCAAATTAAATTATTAATATTAAAATGATTAAAAAATAGTAGATACCATTGGAAATTTATTGTAAAATTGTATTGAAACAGTATAAAAACAAACTAGGTACCTAATTTGAAGTTTTATAAATTTTAAACAATTTTGAAATAGAAATTTTGAAGTCTTGAAAATAGTTACCAGTTTTGCAATTAATTATATTTACTCTTTCACAAGTTCCTAATTAAAAGACAAGACATGAGCAAATGTAAGTAATTCTTATTTAAAATATTATTTATTTGAGTTCCTACTTACCAAGTGTTCAAGAGTATAAAATTGTATAGGGCAAGTATCTCTAAAAACTTCACACATACATAAAATATGAATGAGTACAAATTTATTTGCTTAAATGTAAGGAAATGGAAGACAGTTCGTTTTAGAATTAAGGTTAAGATTTTTTTTAAATAGGTGCTGTAATGGGTACCAATTACATTATTAATATTAAACTGAATAAAAAATAATAGATACGAAAAATTAATGTGAAATTAAACATTAGGTAAACGATTATCTACATATATTTTTAATTTAAAATGTTATATAGTTTGTGTTCAACTTTTAAATAGTAATTTTCATAATTTTCTAATAAAATAAAGAAAAAACATTAAAAAATGTAACTTTTATTTAAACAAATGTCCAACAAAAATAAAATTTTGTGTACCTACTTAATTATACTAATGTAACTAAAAACTTCACACCGACATAAATTTTAATCTACATTTTTTTCCTTAAACAGTATTTATAAATTTTTGCGCAAGAAAAATAATTTTTATGTTATATTGGCTAGGTTATGGAGCTACGTGTGATATAAGTCTGATGGAACGTTTAGTCCTGTCCCACCCAATATGGTTTCTGCCAGGGATCCAACGTGCAGGCGCATTTCACCTGCTTCAAGGGAAAGAAGAGGGTTGCTTTGTCGTTAGAAAATCGTCTCAATCTGACACAATGGCCCTGTCGGTTCGTCTTCCACCAGATAAAGGCCCCTACATAGAACATTACCTCATTCATTCTTCCGAAGGCCGCTTAGGCCTAGAAACGAGTGAGAACCGATTTGTCGATATGGCAGCTTTAATAGCTCACTACGCTAGCTGCTGTGATGAACTCCCTGTACAGTTAACTTTGCCCAAATCCATAAGAGAATCAAAAAGCCGGCAGCAGTTGTCTTCCCTAGCGCTACTCGGACAGGAATTCTGGAGTTACAGCCCTCCCGTTTCGGCAGCTTCAAGTCCCGACGCGGACTTAGTTCTTAATTTAAATCCCCTGATGAGTACTTTCAAGCAAGCCGAACCTTCTACACCAGTTTTGAAAGATAAGCCGGCTAGGCCCAATACACTTAATCTTTCAAGCAAAAACGATCCGAAAGGGGAAGGCTTAAAAAGCGTCTCATCACTTAAGGGTGAATTGGTATCGAAAACACCGCCTCCGCCGCCTCCCAGGTGGTCTAAACCAACTACACCAAATAATTTTACAGTTACCACAACTGTAACGTTCAGCGTTAACGCACAGAGTCCTGGAAACGAGCAGCCCCCGACACAGGAACTAGTAAATTGTGATCCAAAACGAATGTCGCCGGAGGGCCAGTGCACCTCTACGATATCCTCTAAAGGCAGTTTGCGCCGTGCCCCTCTCAATCAAATTCTGTCGCCAAATTCAGTATTATCTCCCAACTCAGATACGCCAGACACACTATCACCACTCTCTGTCTCCAAAGGGGCACGGCATAGCAAAAGATCAAAGCACAAAGTCTCAAAACATTACCAGGAAAGCGATATAGTTGATTCCCCGACCGTTCTATACTATAAAAGTGGACTCGGGGATAAAATAAGTGACTACGAGGACTTGTGGACCAATGACCAGAGCACCACCAAATCCGCGAACAACAGCGGCAGTAATTTGGCCTCACCTGATATTCTGCAGCATACCGGCAACATCGTCTCTTTGAATAATAATATTCTAAGCCCTACCGACTCGCATAATGGATCGTCACAGAGGAGTGTCTGCAGTACGCCTTGCCAAGGCCAGAATTCAAATAAAGGTAAATACTTCCATTGTTTACATTACTGGTATTAATCGTGAGTCATGTAATCCAAGTGTAACTGATTTCTAGTATCAATATTTGCTTCATTCCTCAGTTATACTACACAGATAGCTAATCAATGTCAGGCTTGTATCGAAAGTAAACCAATATAATTTAGTGTACATTTTATGTAACGGACATATTTTGAGTGCAAATTAGATACTTAGAACTTCATGGAGAAAAGTAAGTGAATCTCTTTTAAACTGCAAATATTAAAAGGAAGTATTTAATTTAGTAACCTAAATTCTTATTTTTTTATGTTTCAATCAAGAAGGAAAACATAGGCCTTCATATTTAATTTCTATTTCATAACATTCATTAGTATAGACCGAAACTATTTTATAATTACTACCTTTATACCGGGTGACCACGAGATTACTACCCAGGCTCTAGCTTAGTCACGAAAAAAGATATCGATCTCAAATTTTGGGCATGCGTATCATTGAATTTGATGCAAAATTTAATCATAAAAACAACTGACCGTCACTTCCTGTTTGACCGGAAATGCCCTAAACTTTGTTATTTCATATGGAACACCCTGTATATTATTTTTGTTTTCAATTCTGCTGAAGAAACTAACACTAAAATATGTATTATGTCCTATACCTATCTTTGNGTAATTTGGCCTCACCTGATATTCTGCAGCATACCGGCAACATCGTCTCTTTGAATAATAATATTCTAAGCCCTACCGACTCGCATAATGGATCGTCACAGAGGAGTGTCTGCAGTACGCCTTGCCAAGGCCAGAATTCAAATAAAGGTAAATACTTCCATTGTTTACATTACTGGTATTAATCGTGAGTCATGTAATCCAAGTGTAACTGATTTCTAGTATCAATATTTGCTTCATTCCTCAGTTATACTACACAGATAGCTAATCAATGTCAGGCTTGTATCGAAAGTAAATCAATATAATTTAGTGTACATTTTATGTAACGGACATATTTTGAGTGCAAATTAGATACTTAGAACTTCATGGAGAAAAGTAAGTGAATCTATTTTAAACTGCAAATATTAAAAGGAAGTATTTAATTTAGTAACCTAAATTCTTATTTTTTTATGTTTCAATCAAGAAGGAAAACAGGCCTTCATATTTAATTTCTATTTCATAACATTCATTAGTATAGACCGAAACTATTTTATAATTACTACCTTTATATATATTTTTGTAAAATCTAAATGTTTATGATAAATTGAGTACAATGTCAATTATACATATATTTTTTAAATAATCTATATTGATTAGCACAGTTACAGTTATCAAATAATGCATTGTAAATTATTTTGTTTATTTGCCTTGAAAGATATGGAATATTTACAGGGTGTCCCAATTTATGTACGTCATTAACACAAGTAAAAAGAAATTATATTTTTTCTATTAAATAGACTCTAAAACATGGACATTGAGAAAATATGGCTTTGACAAAATTGCAAATTTTTGAAAAATTGTATTATCCAAAATCTAATAACATAACATAGGCATTTGAACTACTGAATATCTTTCAGTGGTTCAAATGTGTATTAAAAGTGACTGAAGGTGGTCAATTCTACACCATTTTCTTCACATGATAATTAGAGATATAACTTTTTTTTAATCTAACATCCCGTGCTTTCGAGAACAAGTTTATACAGCAAAGTGCCTTTATTTTTCTGACTCTACGGATTCTTGAAGTTCCGTGGTTAAAATTCAGGACACCCCATATAAATTGAGACACTCGTCAAATAGAACGGAATAACTTACTTCAGTATGTTTCTCAGCTTCGTCTGTACAATCGCCCCTAACAGAATCGACGATGTTGTCACCGACAGTCCCCGAGTTACCAAGTCCCCACACTCCGAAACAAGGCAGCCCTTTCTACGCAGAACCGGCAGACGCTTTGGCTCAGGGGCAGCAGGTGCCAAGGAGACTGGTGAATAGGCCAGCGCCAGGGATCCCAATGCATCACAGGCATTCTAACCCTCCTGCTCTGCACTCACACAAAACCTTAAATTCTGGACTGGAGAGGGTGGACGATTCTACGGAATTCATTGGGGGTAAGCCAAAGAATATTGGTACATTTGTACATACTTAACTGTTATTAATTTTAAAATTAATTGTTTCTTTAAAGCACTCGTTAATTTAGACGTTTTATTTTAGGAGTGATATCGGCTTCGGTGGACAATTTAAGCCCCAAGCAAAGGTTTATGGGGATTAAAAAACCCGAGGTTAAACCCGTACAGCCTCCTTTGGTCAAGCCACGGATAAATGACAGCTGGCAAATCGATAACGGTTGGAAATTTATGAGTAAGTATTCGCTTTGGTGCTATTACCCGCTTAAAAGATTCATGCTGTATATTATTATACACATTATTGAGGCATGCTTGCGGTATGCAGCACAATGAAACTGGTAAAAATAAAAGTATTTTTACTGAAAACAAAGTTAGCGAAACAGAAGTGTTGTCAGGGCGAGCGTTTGCTGAAGAGTCGTCATGGTGTGGAGTCGCTCGCAGGTATAAGTATCTGGTCCTTAGCGCCAATCTGCTGTGGAACTTTTCCTGGAACCCTAGTACGTCCTACCGACACGACGTCAAGCTGTCGCACTTGACATAATACTTAAAATGGGTCACGTGTACCCACATTATGTACTTCATGATCTATTGAAGTTCATCAAAAAGCTTTATCGCAACGTTTTTCAAAAATTTGTCTTAACTACAAGTTTCGTAACGCAAAATACACACCGTAATCTATCACGTAATTTTCTTTCCAGCAAACGATTGCGATGTCAATATGGAATCCAGCGATCAAGATTATGACTCTGACTGGCCCACTATCCCCAACTTTATCTCGTCGCTCGATTCTTACACTCCCGATCCCGACGACCGTACCACTTTACAAGATCTAATCTCAAAAAGGTAATTTGGGCTTTCATTATTTAACAAATTGTGTTGTGCAAAGTAGTAATTTCTCCGCTAGGTTTCCTGACATTAAAACGTCGTCTGGCATGCACTTGGACGAGGAGAGATGTCGAATGTCGGCTTATGATAACGTGGAGGACAAAAGGACCCCCAGGCCCCCTCCCTCGGAAATTAGCGAGATTACTGAGTTTTCTGACCCTTGGGCTGAAGTTAGTCAAGGCGTTACTGAGGTAAAAAATATTTAAATTAAACGACACCGTTTATAATCAAAACTTTTTCGTTTTTAGACTGAAGATTCCTCTTATTGTGATACACCGTACACTTCCAATACGAAAGTGGCTTCCATCAGCAGATCTAAAAGTTTCAAGGACAAGTTGGATCCATTGCTTTGTAAGTTTTTGATTTATTAAAATGTGGATGTACGTTTTCATGTCGTTTTACGTCTAGCTGCTCCACGTTTGCAAGCGTTGAGGAATAGAGACCAAAATGGACCAAAAACCGTCGGCAGCAGTATTAGGACCTACGCTTTAGAATTGGCTCAAGATAAAAGCACCACCTTTGCTCAAAACATAGACAATTTCATAGCTTGCACTTGTGAATCGAAAGAAACGAATCCTCAAGTAGTTATGAGAAATATGAGGCAGTTCATGTCGGGGATGAAGAATTATCTGGTGAAGCACGGAGAGAAAGGTTTCTATAAGGAAATAGAGCGAGAGAGGAGTAAGGTATTGCAATTCCATTCAAAGGCGTGCTTAAATTTTAACGCTTGTTTTTGTTTCAGTTAAAATCGACGGAGTTTCTTAATCTAGACGCAATTTTGGAAGGGGTAATGCACAAGTTAGTAGTTAAACCTCTGAAGAACCATTTGCAGAAGTTGTTTTTGGATCATTACACTAAAACCGGTGCCATTAGACTACTAGCGGATAATATTCAATACGCTTCCACAAGACCGATAGCGGAACTAGCCATAAAGGTAAATATTTATTTTTTATTTGACATCATTTAAATTTATTTTGTTTTGCAGCCAAAAATTTCATTGCCATCGGACAGCGTCCTAAACAGGATTTCCCAGTATCTACAGAGGCTTCAGAGTGCCGATTCCCCGTTAGAAAAACTTGAATATCTTTTGGCGGCTATTGCAGTAATTTTTAACTCGGTAAATATTTAATGACGTACTGCGTTTGTAGTAAATTAACAAATGTTTTGTATTTTTAGGTAAAAACCGGACAATTATCATCGGGCACTGCGAAAACTGTGCAGTTGGGTGCCGACGATTTCTTGCCACTGTTCGTTTGGGTCTTGGTGAAAACTAATTTCGTAGCGGCCGAGATCGAGGCTGAATATATGTGGGGTTTGTTACATCCCTCCCTTCTCTCGGGCGAGGGTGGTTATTACTTAACTACCCTGTCGTCCGCCGTACACGTACTTAAGAATTTCAAGGATAGCTGTGAGGAAAATGTGAAAAATCACGTTAAAAATGATGTAAGTATTCAATTCTTCAAAAAAACAACAAACAAACAGTTGTACGTAGTCCAATCTGTCACGGCCTTATGTTAAATTTACAAAAAATACCACCTGGAAACAAAAAATATGGTGATATAGGAAAAAAAATTCTAAGAAAGATAGTGTATTTTTCTTGTGGCGCATAAACGGCGAAGTTAACCTAAAAAATTCATAGTCAAAAGAACGGTTTTTCGCTGAAAAAAAACTTCGACTTCAATCGAATAAAGTAAATGAGAAAAAAAAACCCATCGATTTGTATTTTTAAATATATCAATTGCTTTTCGAGATATATCGAAAAAACCATCAAAAATCGACTTTTCTTGTTTTTGCTGTGTCTCTTGCAAATTAATGTTTTGAAACTTGTTACTTGCTGTAAATGTAGCCCTCAGCAAGCAAGAAAAGTACCTTTTTTACAATTAAAAAATATTAAAAATTTTTCGAGTTATATTGATTTTTCGAAAAAAAGGTCATCTCGAAAATCGGCTCTTCTTGCTCGACGAATAGTCGTAGAGAAACGAATCAGAGCTCATTTTTTTCCCTAAGAGTTATACTTTCATGGTGAAAAAGAATGATAACGATTTTATTCATTTCAAGTGTCCAAAGACGACTTTGAAAAAAGTAAAAAATTTTTTTCGCGTTTTTCTTGAATATCTTTTTCGATTTTCATTTCTCGATAATGTCTATTGCAGGAATCGATTGCTGGCACTTTTACGCGAAAAAATGTTGCCCTATGACCTTCTGGGGCCGAGATAATTTTTTAAGTGCTACAGCGACAATTCTCACAGAGATTGAAGTTGAAGACTTATATTTTCAATAAAAAAATGCTGTGGTTCATTTTAGCCACTTCTGCATTTTTAATTTTGCATCAAACCGAAGCACTAAAGCGCGACGCGAGCTAACTGTAGCAGCCGGCGAAGTGGGGGTCACTACTCGGCCGCTCCGAAAACTGAAGGCTGTCGTAAATGTCATATTTTGGTTTATCTCGTCGAAATTAGTACAAGTACAAAGGAATTTTTGTACGTGGTCCAGAAGCCGAGATAATGAAGATTTTGAAAGTAAGAGCGCTTTTAAACGTGCAAATTCAGTTTTTGAAGCGGCCGAGTAGTGTTACCCCCACTTGGCCGGCCGCTACAGTGAGCTCGCGTCGCGCTCGAATTTTTCGGTTTGATGCAAAATTAAAAATGCACAAGTGGCTAAAATGAACCACAGCATTTTTTTATTGAAAATATAAGTCTTCAACTTCAATCTCTGTGAGAATTGTCGCTGTAGCACTTTAAAAATTATCTCCGCTGCAAAAGGACATAGAGCAACGTTTTTTTTTAAATTCATGTAAAAATGCCAGCAATCGACTCCTGTAATAGACATTATCGAGAAATGAAAATCGAAAGATATTCAAGAAAAACGCGACTAAAAATTTTTTACTTTTTCAAAATCATCTTTGGACACTTGAAATGAATAAAATCGTTGTCAGTCTTTTTTACCATGAAAGTACAATTCTTAAGGAAAAAAATGAGCCGATTTTCGAAATGACCTCTTCGAAAAATCGTTATAACTTGAAAAAATTTTAATATTTTTTAATTTAAAAAAACGTACTTTTTTGCTTGCCGGGGGCTACATTTACAGCAAGAGCAAGTAATAAGTTTCAAAACCTTAATTTGCAAGAGGTACAGCAAAAACAAAAAAAGTCTATTTTTGACGGTTTTTTTGCGAATATCTCAAAGAGTAATATAGCAATCGATATAATTAAAAATACGAATCGATAGGTTTTTTTAATAGCTACAACTTTCTCATTTAACTTTTTTCGATTGGAGTTCAAGTTTTTTTTTATTGGCAAAAAACAGTTTTTTTGACATATATGAATTTTTTAGGTTAACTTCGCCGTTTATGCTCCACAGGAAAAATACACTATCTTTCTTAGAATTTTTTTACTCTCACCATATTTTTTGTTTCCAGTAGCATTTTTTGTAAGCTCTTCTACCTATTGATTGGACTAAAGGACATATATAAGCACCTAAAGAAGTAAACTTATTCCCATCGATTTTTTTTCCAGTCTGTGTTAAAAGTGGTAGTCCCAGATGAACTTCACGGCTCAATACTGACGAAGACTCTGCCTGCCAGGCCTCACATGACTACAAAGGAGGTGTGCAAGATTATAGCGCACAAGGCGAGGATAACCAACCCACAAGACTACGCTCTCTATAGACTTACCGACGGCGAAGGTAAGGTTTCGAACGAGATATTAAAAAAAATTGTATTGATAAAAGCATTTTCAGAAATGATGCTGATGGATAACGAGTGCCCTCAAGATTTTATGAAGGAAGGTAAACATACCATGCTGGCTTACAAGAGGATAGACGCGAAAATAGCCTGGCCAAAACAGGACAAACTGAATATCTAGTCATTATTGTTTTAGTTTGTCCTTTGCGAAACACCTGTAAATATCGTTTGTGTTATATAAAATCAAAATGTAACTTGTCATTTGATAACTTTTTAATACATGTTAATGTTTTTTACTCCGTAGCCTGGCTACAAACTTTAATATTTATTTTAAAATAAATACTGTGAATTGTCTTTTTAATAACAAATTTTGTATTTAATTTATTTGAACTGTACTAAGTAATCAAATAAAAAATATATTCTTAATCGTGTTTATTTTCAAACACATAATGCGCAGTGATGGCTGATGAAAATTAAAGATATCATATTTTGATAATGACGGTTGGGACCTTTCACGTTTTTTGGGGGATGGTTCTAGACCCACTTAGGAAACGTTCGTGATGAAATGATTTCAATTGAAATACATGAAATAATTAAAATTGGAGCAGGCGACCTTGAAATCTGGAAGGGTTGCACATGAAGGGTTGGTTCAGAATTTATCCAAAAAAAATTTTTGATGTACATAGGACTGTCACAAATACAATTTTGTAAAGAAAAAATCAAAAAGGGCAGTTCGAAAATTATTAAAAATACACTTCTGCACGGCACTGGAAACTGGTCCACTGGAAAAACTGACCTCGTCCAATGCGACCGGCATGGCGGCAAAGTGTGATAAAAACGGACAAAAACTTAAAAATTTTCGCAAGGAAATAATAAATAGAATTTTATATCAGCAAATTCAACTGCTTTTGCCGCTATTTTTTAAATAAAATGGTTACAAGTGTTCAAAATTTTGTCCACCGACGTGTAAACACATTTGGGTCCGTCTTACTTAGTTTCTATGAACTAACACAAATGTTGCCTTGTTTCACCATATCACAAATGCATCATCATAATACAAATGTTGTCTTGCTTCAATATAAATTAAAACGATATCCATGAACTCCAAGTTACTATACACGTAAGCCATTTTTGACACTAACTATTAAAAAACTACTGTAAACACTGGCAACGACGACTGTAACATCGGATTTTAATATTCGGAGTTGCTGAGGCCACGTAGCTCTTCACGTGTATTGCAAATGAAGCTAGAGACTACAGTTGTCCAGCTATGTAATGGTTGAAAGTACTGCAACTACAATAATAATTTTTTTCAAAAACTTAAGTATTTTACAAACAATTTTTTTACGATATTGACTCCATCTCCCAAATTTTTTTGGATAATTTCTGAATTGCCCTATATACAGGCTGATTGAAAATTCACTACAAAGAATTTAATGGCATATTTTTGAGGTTAAAATAAGACTATTTCCTATAAATGTGGGTCCACAAATGCTTAGATTTCAATATACAAAGTTAAAAGATTTTTATATTTTTGATTTTTTAGGAATAATTTCCAGATTTGAATGTTCACATAAAACTTGGGGTACAGATGCTAAATTTAAGTATGTCATTGCTTTTGATGCTTGTTGTAGAGGTCGCCACCTATAAGGATACGCTTGAATTTAATTAGCCCTAACTTTTTTGCCATCCTGAACATTGACGTTTCGTACTAGTGCGTTTATTCCCCTAAATTTTATAACTTAAAATTTATTTTGGACTCATGTTTATAGGAAAAGAAGTCTTATTTTGACCTCAAAAATACGCCCCTAAATTCTTTGTACTGAATTCTAATCAGTCAGTATAATTACAAAACATTTTTTTTTGCTCAACTGATAAATATAAATATGTACATATATTATTTTTCACAAACTTTTTATTTTTCTTAAAATTATTGAAGTTAAAAATTTAAATTACCATGAAAAATGTATTAAAAAAAATATTGAAAAAAAAACACCTGATTGTATCAGTTGATTATGAAGAAAGAAATGTTTTGCAAAAACATGTGCAATCATTTTTGAGATATCAGGGTTGCCACCCCTATTTCAATTTTTTATTTTGCAAATTTCATTGGAAATTTCACTAAAATTCTAAAATACTGTAACAGTAAGCTGTAGACATAACAGTTTGATATTGTTCATTGTAAACGGACCATTAATATTGGTGACGCCAACATTTAGGGATTTTTCGTTACCAGTACCAGCCCTGCAATATTGGTTGCCTAAGCTCAACGGTCACATGGCTTGTCAACATTTATGACGGCTCTCTAGTTTTTAATTATTAATGAATAGCTACTAAAAAACAGTTTTAGAAATTAATTTAGGGGGTTCAAATTAATTTGGGAGAATTTTTAGATTCTTCCTAGGCAAACAAATTGAAAGTTGTAATAACTAATAATACAGTGCAGCTAAATGGGTTGTATGAGAAAAATAACTGCAGTAAATCAGATGTGAGGAATTTAAAATTAGCCTTGGATTGCCTCTGAACAAGTGATTTCATGCCATAAAAAAATTAGCATAATCTCCCTTCTCTCAAATTTTATACAAATTTAAGGCGATCGAATTAGTATTGGAAAACTTTTTTCAATTCTCTTTTTAGGCAAAAACACAAAAGTCTTGAAAATTTCTAAGGAAAAATTCTCTAAATATGAAGGTGCCTAAAATCGACACAAACACATTTAAACACATATTTTCTGACCCATTGTAAAAGCTAGTGGTACCAGTTTTTCTCTACACTCTAATTTGATAAGAAATCGCAAAAAAAATTGAAACTAATTCCTATGCTATATTTTAAATGAGTTGTACGACTAAATAATTTCTCTCAGGGAACATCGATCTAAATATGTCCAAGGAATTAGAATTTGGCTTCAGATTGTGCCTGGTTATCATGTCACGAGAAATAATTTTGAAAATAGAACATAAATGGTTACATAATCAAGTTTTACTGCAGTGAAAATACAGTCATTTTTTTGGAAAAAAAATCGCTAATACCAATCAACTGTTTTGATGTCAAGAAAACACGCCCTAGTTAGCCGTGAATTGCATTAATAAAAACAGCAGTACCACAGTTAAATAGAATTTCTTTTGCCCCACATTCCAAAATAAAAATTTTTGAAATCGGCCAAAAATTAAAGAAGTTACAGGCTTGTATCACATTTAAGCGCGACACCCTGTGTGTAATAATACAACACATTTCTATTGATTTCCAATTACCAATTGATTGATAGTTACTTTGCCTGATCGCGATGGTGAGATCATATTTTAATTATTTCTTGTTAATTATTGGGTGGCACGTACACCTAATTTTCAATAATTGGGGTATTACAAACGTCAAACTGAAATATTCCTAAAGAATTCTCCAGACTGTATAAAAGGTAACTCGATTTTAGATATTGTTCTTAGTTCATTTACTGAATAACGTAAAAGAATTTCAAGTCTACATTTTAAAAAATTAATCAATCCTTTAGATATACAAAAAAATATATATAAAATATAGTGAAAATATTGTCACCTACACGGAATCGTGGACTGGGTAGGTAAACGGCAAAATGGAAATAAAGGATTTAGCAGATCTGTATGGAAACGAGCTTCATATTAGACAGTTAAAAAAATTAATAAGGGGAAGTGCGAGAGCCCAAGAGATTGAAAAAAGATCCAAATTAGATTCTTCAGATGGACACGTTATTGACGAACACGACCAGTTCTACAGAGACCATAAATTACTGCTGGCACTTTTTCGTGTAAGTACTTAACTGAGGGTAATAAAATGATTTTTTGTAAATTAGAAAATATTTAACGTTTATATGGTTTTATTGGGTATCCCTTCAATTTTCAAAATTGTTAGAAACGTCCTATGAACAAATGCTACAAAATGCGCCATATCCGAATAAAAATTAAAAAATAACATACAACTTACACGTTTTTAATGTTATGTTATAACATGGAAATCATTTAAATAATACCTATATGGTTTTGCAAACAAATGTATTGCAAAATTTAAAGTAATAGGGGCAAAATCTCGAAAACGAATTTTTGGAGTTTAGCACCCCCCGAAAATAATTTAAATAAATTTTACTGCAGCTGCTTTATTTCCTATGGCACTGTACAGGGTGCCCAAGAAAATGTGGGAAATCTCTCGGGTGCTGATAGAACATGAAAAAATAAGATGACAGATTGCCTACGGAAATATATGTCCCTGAAGGAGGCCGCTGGCAATCGGTTTTTCTTAAATAACTTTTAAAGTACTAATTATAATTTAATAAAAATTTTATGTGATGGACCCTAGTAAGGACCTCTTAAAGTAATATCCTTAAAACATATTTAGCTTTTTTAGTTTACCAGGGGCGGTCTAAGCTTTACAACTTGATGCCTAAATTTTTAACACCCTGTGGGATAGACTTTAAAATAATAAATCTGGGTAGCTGCAACCTTAGACTAAAAAAAGATACTCTTGTTTGTTGTCGATAAAATGAACCGTATACGAGAAAAAGCTAATAAACTAATTCATATTTTATTTTTAATAAAAAGGGCCATGATTTATATTTTTTTATTTCTCGACAACAAAATGCGATACAAAACTCATATTATTGAAAAACTTCATAAGAGGGTTCAACATGGGCTCCGAGAAGTCTGATACACTCGCGGACACGACAAATTGAGGACTGCTGTACACGTCACAATAACATAGCATTGTTCCTTATCACATCACAATGAAACGTATTCTCACAGGTAAAAATCCAGAGGCGTCAGGTTGGGAGATCGAGGAAGCCAGACAATAGGTCCTCCTCTATCTATCCAACGCAACGCTTTAGATAGATGTTATTCATATGCACGTTTTCTCGGACATCCTGTATACTTCTTTAAATTCAGCACTGCTTTTACTTCTGTTATATCCAATTATTAGATTACATTTTCTAGGTCTTGGGCGTAATGCCAGTGCAACGAGGAAAAATAGGAAAAATCACATTTAGCTGGACAAGCTTGCCTATGATATACGCTTACATTTTTTACATGATAACAACAACTATAGTCCTAATGGTCGGCTACGAAAGAGTAGACATACTCCTGAATAAAAGCAAGAAGTTTGACGAATATATTTACTCTATCATCTTCATCATCTTTCTAGTACCACACTTTTGGATACCGTTTGTGGGTTGGGGAGTCGCGTACGAAGTGTGTGATTATAAAAATGGTTGGGGCACTTTTCAGTTGCATTATTACAAAATAGCAGGTTAGAAATTAAAATAATGTTTAGTAGAGCTGTAACATTCCGTATTATACTTTTCTCAAATCGTTAAAATAGATTGTATTGATTTTAGGTAAAAATTTGGAGTTCCCTCACTTGAGCACCCTTATAGTCATCTTAAGTATAGGATGCTTACTACTGGCTGTTGGATTTCTACTTATACTAAGCACCTTGCTCGACGGATTTACTTTATATCACACCACGGCGTATTACCACATCATTACTATGATAAATATGAACTGTGCCTTGTGGTACATCAACTGTAGAGCCATAAGCAACGCCAGTGAGGCCCTAGCAAAGAATTTTCAGAGGGTGACTATTTACAAAAATTAAATTATCTTTTTACGTATCTTCCGTTTTGGTAATATAATTATACCCGTTTATATTTTTAGGACATTGATAAATACTGCACGTCTTACATAGTGGCTCACTATCGTGTTTTGTGGCTTGAACTGAGCGAGCTTTTGCAAGCAATTGGCAACGCCTATTCGCGAACATATTCTACTTATTCGCTGTTTATGATGACTAATGTTACTATAGGTGTAAGTAAATAATATTTAATACCTGAATCTTTCAGAATTGAAACTAATCTAAAACATGTAGGTGATCTAATTTGATATAAAATACAATTGGTACCTTCTGAAACATGTCTGGCAAAGCATAGAATTTATTTTGGTTCCTTTGTTCCATTTTAAGATATACGGTTTTACTTCTGAGGTGCTAGATCATGGCATAACATTTTCTTTCAAAGAAATGGGTCTCTTGGTAGACAGCATATACTGCATGGTCCTTTTGTATGTCTTTTGCGACTGTTCCCATCAAACGTCTGCCAACATAGCTGAGGGAGTCCAACTGTCTTTGATGAATATCAAGTTGAATTCTGTCGACGTAGCTACTACGCGTGAGGTAAGAAGAACTCAAGTAAATATGGAAATAGACGAGAATTCGAATATTTTATTTCTTTTCAAGTTATCCTTTTTAATTCAAAAACAGCAGATAAATTAATATTACTGACATTTAGGTACGGTAGCTAGAATATTTTGTTAATTCAGTTAAAACTTTTCTTAAATTTTGACAAATGTTTTTACCACTGATTTTGAGAGACATTTATTTTTAGGTAGAACTTTTTTTGAAGGCTATCCATCTGAACCCACCAAAAGTATCCTTACAGGGATACTCGGTAGTGAACAGAGAACTAATTTCTTCAGTAAGTTCATAACAATTTTGTCCAATTCAACATAATTCGGATTTGGATCATAAGAACTGTTTTTATTTCAGAGTGTTGGTACCATTGCTATTTACCTCATTGTTTTACTACAGTTCAAAATCAGTTTAGTGAATTTACGTGGATAAATATAGACTTTGCTGCAGATGCCACTCTAGTGAAATAATCTCAGTAAACAATGTAATAATTCCAAAATTATATGTGACCCGGAATTAATTTTAATTGATAATTGTTATTTAATAAATTTCTAGGTTGGAAAAATTCTAATAAAAAGTTTTTTATTATTCTCCCTCATCTTCTTTTTGTACGTCCCTGCCATTCACCTTCTCGATTAGCGATCGCACTAAATGACGTCACGAATTAGCGCCGTTTAAACCTTTAGTTTGAGTGCCAAATGTTAACAACCTCTAAAAGATTTCTAATATTTTCACTGCATGATTATTGTGGTAAATTAACATTTAAAAATATGTATGACAGTTACTTTTTCCAATTTTAATTATAACAAGAAAATAATGAAAATAACTGTTATACTGATCTACATACTAACAAAAAATAAAGCAAATTTTCGAAATTGACGCAAATTATTCTCGACGTTTCCGAGTACTTTTAAAGTTTCTGGGGCAACTGAAAGTGCTTAACTTTTCCAAAGGCTTTCCATCAATTTTGTGGGTCATCGATTATCAGTCATTCCAACATGCTTTATTTAAAACTTATCACGTCAAGAGAAAAGTTATTGCTGCGGTACAATTTCCGAGTTGTTATAGGAACTTAATATATACAAACATAATATAGGTCATATTTATCTAAAAAAAAAGATTAGTACTAGTGCATGCGGATATTAGATCAAGTTCACATCACTCAATTACTGGAACAGTGCTTTTACATTACCTGCCTATATGTGAAGTATGAATAATATAATTATGATATTCTTACATTTTATAATTTATATGACAAAAGGGGTAAATTAAAAAAATATTAGGATCCCTATTTCGTTAAAATAACGTAATTTCAGGATCTGGACTATCAAATTTCTATCCCAGAATTTATATGTGATAAATCTCGCGATTTGATTGACAGTAAAAATAGTAAGACTGTAATTGGGTAAGTTTCTATTATAATACAAAATATACACATATGTATTTAATGCACCGCAGAAAATTAATGTGTAATTTGTAAGCAAAATATCCATATTCTGCGAATTTTTTCATTTAAATTAGATTTTTTAAATGGATATTTTTGAAAAGTTTACGAAAAAATCCGTAGTCTCATATTTTTATTAAGAGCTGAACATTAGGGCATAAAAATATAAATTTGAACCCTAAATATAAATATATATTTTTAAAACGGTTATATAAGTACATATCTTCTTTATTCTAATTTTCGGTATTCTTCTTTATTCTAATTTTCGGTATTCATTTGTTGATTCTATATTTATATACTTATATTGTCGCGAATATGTTTGTTATTTAGATAGTATGGAACACACTTTTTTAAATAATTTACATTTCAGACTCTCCGGGCAAGGGAAACTTGATTTCAAGTTAAATTTCCAACGGATAGGAGACACTTTTGGAAATAGTCAGAGATGCAATCTGATCATTTGGAAAGTTGTCAGAGATTTTGAAAAATACTTAAATAATTATCCCTACGCTCAAACCAATGATATAGTATTTAACAATTCTATGGCAAGTCTGTAAAAATAACTTAGTTGCACCTGATCAAATAATTGTACCTATACATTTTTTAATTTGCTTGTTTTAAATTAACGTCTTCTAGAAAATTGGTCAAACACTACTGGATCCCATGAAAAAATGAATGTAAATTATCCAAGACGAGATTAGAAATGGTGATAAAATTGAAAAAAAAAATAAGTTTGTTTCTGGATTATCTAAGAAATTTACTGACATAATTTTTTAATTTTACATGATAGATATGTAATATTGTTATTGACAAAAGTGCATGACCCTTAGTTGAAAAAAAATAGTGTTCGATACCTAGTTAAAATGTTCTTTTTCGAAAATTGTTATTAAAAGTTGATTTTACATTATATTTATCAGGTGTTAAAACAACAGTTTTTTGTCTACAGAATGTAAAAGTCTTTTTTATATTCACCTACAATTCAATGAAATTATAGATGATAGAATCAGTTCACCAGTTTTATTTGTTATTATGAACAAAATCATAAATTATAACAATAATTAATAACCAATTTAATTATCACTCAATTTAAAACAGATAATCAAAGAATATTTGATATTAAAATACCTACGTTAAATAAATTGTAGATCACACATGTCAAATAAATTAATTTTAAATGTCAACATCTTTACTTCACATTTTTAATAATTTTTTAACCGTGATATACAGTTTTCGAAAAAATGTTGTTTGATACTCGATAGCGAAATTCTTTTACATTCTCGAATGCAAAAAGCATTTCCCAATCTAGCATAAAAAATAACTATTTCCATATGATTGTCATCTGTCATGTGATGTGTCAATTAAAAGGGAATTTTATGCAGATACTAAAAATTGGACAAGCATTTTATTTAAACAATCATAACTTTGTTGTTGTTGTTCCCTGACATTTCGCCATTAATTAGTTTGTTCGAAATTGACCCCTAATTTATTTTTGAACTGTTTATGTTAAATTTGATCGATAAACACCCTGTAGAAGTTTAGCAGTCAAAATAAAGGACACTCTATAGAATATAACAGTAGATTTGATCTTTTTTTTAGAAGACACATTCTATGTATTTCTTCTTCTAAATCTAGATTTTTTTAATTGATTAATTGTAATATTTTATTTTCAGTTGCTTCCTGGTCTAAGATACATTTTCAACATATATGTTACTATAGGGGAAAACGCAGTGAAACAAAAACAATTTAGTCTAGACTTTGTCGACGGCACCACCGCAGATTCTACAAAGAAAATGTTTGCTACTCTTTCTCTGATTGGCGCTACTTCTGCACAGGCTCACATGACATATATCTTAAATGCGAAAATAGACATTTGTTCAAATAATTTAGAATACTACGTAGGTATAACAAAACTAGAAAAGTTAAATAATTATTTATTAACAGCGAAACTCAAGGAAATAAAAGTGAAGTTTATTTAAATGAAGAGCAATAATATTTTAGAGACATTAATTTATTATTTTCTATCACCCTTGGTTTAAAAAACGATGTTCACAAACGAGTTAAAATGTATTTACGCTTCAATTAAATAAAGAGGGTGTTCTAAAAAACAATAGTAATTTAATCTAATACAACGTATGAATCTTCAGAATTTAAATTTACTCTAATATCTCTCATCAAATATGAAATATTTTCAAGTAGTTTCAAATAAAGATAGATATTTACCTATTCTTGAAAAATATTTTTCAAAAAGCTGACACGAGTTTAGAATTGAAATACTTTTGCAATATTTCTTAGATTAAATGGGAGTTGCTAGATAATACACGCAATATTTTGGAAATTTTCGCTGACAGAGGACCTGAACTAACCATCCCCTCTTTTACTTTTCAAAGTGGAAAGCAGTACTTCGTCAAATGTAACTTAATAAAGATGGAAGACGACGAAATCCTAACAAGTGTAAGGAAACCATTACAAAATAACTTTTTTTTTTAACAATAGATAAGATAGAAGTATTTGTCAAAAACTTTACTTTCCAGGAGTTCCAATTTATAGAAGTAAAAGCTAATATGGACAGCTTAATCGTTAAGCTACCAATGCTTTATACCACTATGAAAGTGCAACAAGCAATAAACATAAAACCTTACATTATAGACCTTGGAAACCACGATGGGGAGGTGAAGGTAAATTTAATAAATTAAATCTTAGCCAGGAGCAAAACTATCGATAGCCCAGTTACTGTAGCTGAGAATATAGTAATACCTCCAAATTTTTTATAACTTTCTAACTTTTTATAACCCTTGAAAAATACCCCTTCTTTCGAAAAAATATTATTGAAAGAGTAGAAACATTTTAAATGTGCATTCGTATTAAATAAACACTTTTATTCCCTTCTTATAAAATAATTTTGAACTGATTGCAACTTTTAAACCCTTAAAAATTACCCCTTACATATATACACACACAAAATTAAGATTATTTTATAAATTTTTATTTTCCCTTTTAATAATAATAAGTATTAAAAAACATTATAATTATATGTAAATGATTATTCGTCGTCACTGCTATTCTCTTCACAATCATGCTCGTCCTCTTCGATGATTGGAGGAGAATTTAGGCAGTTGTCGCCGGAGCATGTTCCACATGTCGAATTACGTATACAAAAAAGATCTAAATGCTTAAAAATTCTTATTTGACCCAAATTTTCCTAAAATTATCACCTATACACGTGTTTATTTTTTTGACGACAACTTTCTTACTTTTTAAGATTTTTAATCGCACAAAGGCTCATTTTGCAGGGAATTGTAAGGGCTACGTGGACTGATGAGTTGATCTTTTTTAAGCCCTTCATTTTTAAGTTTGAAGGGTTTAAAGGGCTCGAAAAATGTGGTTCTCTCATTCATATGACAACTTAAAATGGCGATATCTCAATTAATATTATCTTTAGAGGAATAAAAAATCTTCAGCAATAATAAAGCAAAAATTTTTTACTCTTATATTTTTTCGTATACCCTTTAAGTTAAGTTACAGTGTAAAAATCGAATATTTTTCAAAAATTTTAAAAATTAACATTTTCAAAAATTAAGTTTTTTTCGAAATCATGCTTTGTAAGCGAACCAAAGACCCAGAACATATTCTTAGAACATAAATGAAGAAAGCTGTAAATGGATTGCATTTAATTTTAATTCTGTCGCCAAAGGCACTGATTTATTTATTAATTTTTTCTTAAAAAAATGAGACTATCATGTTATTTCGGTCATATTTCCGTTAATGTTGACTTAAGACTTTTAAAGCAGCTCATTTTAAAGGGTTTTCAAAGTACTTTAAAAAAGTGCCTTTCTTTTTGTTCATTACAACTTTTTCGTTAAATCCAATGGTTTCATAGTTATTTGCAAAAAACTGTCCGAAAAGAAGCACTTTTTCAGTAAAAAATCAACATTTTCAATGACGAATTACCCGGAAAGTATTGGATTATCCAAAAAACTTTATATAACATTTATTACATAAAATTGACTCTTCTATCGATTCCTGTGGTTATATTGGGCATAAAAATTTCCACCCCCAAGAAGGGGTGGGAACCACCTTCAGGGCAAAAGTACATTTCGGCACTATATAAGTTTTGTTCCTTGAAGCATTCCCCACATTCAGTCAAAATTTCACGTCAATCGGTTCAGTTATAAAGAATTCGGAGGTAAAAACCCTGAGTAACTGGACTACGATCAAAAGCTATTTCTTAATAAGAACATATTTTTGTTTTATTCAATATTTCTGAATATATTTATGTTAAAAGTTTCATTTTTTGTCCGAGCTACTTTAGTGGTAATACCTTTTTTTAGATAGAATGGTCTTGCAGGCTTAACAATAAAAATTTTTGTGAGAATAAGAACGATGACTTCCTAAACATTGAAAGTGGATTTTTGGAAGAAGGAGAGTACGTAGTTATACAAAGTGCTACAAAAATATTTAACCAAATTTTACTGGTAGCTTGCTATATTCTACGTAAATTAACAAAAGAAGTTCGCATAGCGTGCTTCACTTTAGAGATACAAGATGGTAAAAATTAATAGATTTGATTTAGTTTGTCACAAAAAGCTGTTGAGTGGCCTTGTATATTTTGTTTCATTCGTAGGTAATGTTACTTGAATTAGATTTTATTTTATAAAAAAAAATTCCTTTGACTAACTGTGTAAGAGGTTTTTAGAAAGAATGCCTACAAACTGGACAAATTTCACTTCGAAATCGAAAGAAAAACGCACTAAAGTAGAATGAGATGGAAATGCATACAGCAAATAAAGTATTATTCCCCCCTCTACTACTTTTCCACTGCGCACCTATCCTTAAGGCTCAAATAAATTTAGGTTTAGTTTACCTGCATACATGATTAGATTCTTTGTAATTTATCTCAATGAAGGAAAATTACACAATTATATGAACTAATTTTGTTAATTTATGATTTTTAACCAAGAATTTTAATTACACCCTAGCTATAATACCGTTACATTTTCTGTACAATTTTGATATTCATTGCAGGTATAACATATCCATACGAGTAAACAAAGGTGCTATGAAGAAAACGGATACGTGCAAAATAAAAATTATGAATGATGTGCCTTCAATAGAAATAGATACTTTAGAGTATCCAATCCTTCCTTCATCTGGTGTACACATCAGGGCAAACATTGACGACTTACGAACATTTTGCACCCTGCAGTGGAAATCAACAGATTCGTATTTTCTTCTCGACTTAAACCAAATAGTAAGTGGAAAAAATACGCACTGTTATCTTCCACAAAGAATAAAATCCCTAACATAAGAATTTGTAGCCTGGCAACGTAAACGAACTACGTCTAGTGATCGTGAAGAGAGACCTGTTTCTAAAGGAACTCGAAGAATTTAGCAACGACGTATCCAACAAGGAACATGATCTGTTAATACCTCCACCAACAGGTAAATCTAATTATAGCTAAGCTTCTCTAAATTTCCCCACATTTCAGAAAATTGGGCAGGCCTTCCAGCTGAAGACAAGAATTATAAACTACATTTCACCTTAGAAGCAAAATGCCCAAAAGTGCAACTGCAAGACGATGTTGACATCGAATACTCGGGTAGTATTTTAAATGATACCATAATGGTATCCGCTTTAGTGGAGATAGATGTTAATGTACCACCAAAAATACAACCACTGACTGTTGAGCCATCTACAGGAGTAGCTTTAGAAACGGTTTTTACTTTTCAAACTCTGAAAGCTGTGGAAACTGGCACTAGGTGCCCTTTTTTATACAAATTTGGCTATTTATTAGGGGATAGAGAAAATGTATTTTGTAACATGCTCGAGTATACGAAATGCGAAACTGTCCTTCCGCATACTGGTGAGTAAATTTGTTATAGTTCAAGGCAATTCTTTAATGAATATTTATCATTTTTGGCAATATTGGTGTCGATAATATTAGTATCTTGAAAGGAAATAATTTGAATGAAGTATTAATCTTGACTATTTTAATGTTTTTAGACAAAGGTATTAAAACTTTTTTGAAAGTTTGCGACAGTTTCAATTCCTGCGCAAAACTATTTGGCCCTGTTGTCAATATTTTACTCCCAGATCAAATAAATGAAACGTAAGTAATATTTAAATAACAAACGTATAAACAATAAAAACTAATGCAAAAAATGAAAAGGTCAAAAGAATTTCCGAAAAATTTCTGCGTGATTTTTGACAGACTGTATTTAGGTGAAAAATGGTCGTATCAGGAATTAAAAAAAGCATTTTGAAGCTCTAAGATTCTAGTTTTTAGATCTTTTGGTGGAAATTTTTTAGAAGCTGCGATTATCATGCAATTCTAAGAAATAGCGCAACAAAAAAAATTTCGGAAATTCTTTTGACCCTTTAATTTTTACATTAGTGGAGAGTTTTTAAAACGTATTATTTTGTACAAAATTTGAAAAAGATAAGAACAAATAAAAAATTCATTTACATTTTACCTTTTTAATTTTAATTTATTTATTTTGTAATTTCATCTACATTTTCTGCATTAGTTTATACAAGTTGCACTTGTGCGAACGACGTATTTTTCTAGAAAAGTTTTAAAAATTTATAAAGAGAAAATGAACAGTGAGGACTTTCAAAAAGCTTTCGGCTATGCTTTAACCATATTATATACTTCCAATGCTTTACAAGAAGAAGATAAATATACCGAATACTTCTCCAGAGAAGTTTCCAATAAAATACAGTATTTGATTAAACATTACAATGCCGAGGCAAACTGGGCAAAAAGGGCAAATAAATTAATAAAATACATAAGCGACTTCAATAAGGAATTGTCATTTAGCGATAAAGTTATAAATGTAAGTAAGATCTAATTGTGAATTTTTAAAATAGTTCAAGGGACAACCTTTTGGATTATGATTACTACTTAGAAAACACCCAGTATTTTAAAAGTTATGCTGTTTTCTTTAACTGTTAGTTTAAGGGATTGGTAGAACTGCGCACTAAGCTACTAAGTTACCACAAAGAAAATTTGACGGTTCCAAGACGAAAATTGTTAGCAACAGAAAAACTCCTGACTGATTTGGAGAATTTTAAAAGTTATCTAGAAGTGTCAGATATAATAATCACTAGCTCCAAAGACAAAAACAGAGTGGCATCGGAAAAAGAACATTTACGGAGAATAATAAAACAGTATATGGGCAAACTTTGTACGGAATTGTATCAGACCCGGGAAAGGGTTTCTTTAGGTAAATAATTTAAAATACATGTAAAATAGTCTATCTCAAAAACTACTGTCCTGTGGCAAAACAAAACAGGTAAAACAGAAAAAAATCTGTGTCATTGTCCAACGGTGTAACAAAATCTAAGCAGTATGTTTTGTTAATAGGTACCTAAAAGGAGATTATGTGTTACGATATTTTAAATTTGCCGCCCTTGGAATCAGAGTTATCGGCGCTCACAGTGGCATGCACTTGCATGTACATACATTTGTAGATATATCAAAGTTGGACAGAGCACTTGCAGATGTTTTTATGAACTTATTTGGTTATTTTTAAATAAATATGCCATTAAAATGGACTGAACAATTCAAATGCTCCTTATGTGCAGTATTCACAGCAACACGCAACAAAACTGTCAAATATTTAAATCTGCACTTACCTTTATGCTGCTTTATACAGAAAGATGGTTTTTTTAAAAAATAAATCCAATAATGATGATGGAAATAACTATGTAATTAAATAGTTTCATCCATGCACAACACATCACGGAACGTCATCACGTCACTGAACAATCATTTTAAACGCAAATTTTGAAAAATAACTAATAATTAGTAATTTAGTTTAGACACAATTAGAGAATATTCAACAAAGCCTTCTGTACCCAACCGGTCACTGATTGGCGATAGCGTTTTTGTCTCATAATAAAACAACTGAATAATAAAAAACGGCCGTCGGCCACTATCAAGCAGAAGCTAATAACAAAAAATTGAATATATTATATATACAGAGTGGCTCATTAAGAACAACAGCACCCTTGTAACTTTTTTGTTAAATATTTGAAATTTTCAGATCGAAGTTAATACAACTTTTTTGTGAAAGAAAGATTCGGAATTGTTTCTATATTAAAATTACACGAATCGAACCATTCACAAAAATGTTACAAGACCGTTTTGGTTTTTAGTAAAACAAAAGTGATATAATTTTTATTTCTTATTTACTATAACTTTTTTACATATTTTCATCATTATTACTCTACTTCAGTATTCAAATCTGTAATATTGGTGGTGGAGGAACTCCCAAAAAAATCATATGGCAATTTTCACACTATTCCTTACAAAGAAAATCCGTGGAACACCAGTGCAGTAATCAAACTCAATTTGGAGGATATGATGAAAATGAGAAATGAAAAATTATGTATTGCCAAAATTGCGTACAAGAATATCTTGAACAAAACTGGAATAATTTACGAAGCTGATATTCTAAATGCAATTGATGGTAATATGGTCCTAGAGGACATCAAAAACACTATGCTAATACCTTTTGATACAGGTGAAGTTGAGAATAAAGTACCTAAGGTAAATACCTACATATGAAACATGTTTTTAATTAAGGTATTCTTCGTTTAAACCTTTCAGAAAATGTAGTCTTCAATTGTTCAAAAAATATTATTTTTTTATGTAAGCTCATTTGTATTAATATGTATTAATTTGTCTTTTTTAGTGCTTGGTTTATAGGAATGAATGGCAAACAAAATGTGAATTTATAAAAAATATTTCACAGTATGCTCAATGTTTCTGTTCAATAATGGGTAGCTACTAGTAAGTATTTATAAAAAATATATTCAGCATTACATTCAGCAACTGTACATTAATAAAAAAATTATTATGAAATCTGCAAAATGACATTGAAAGTTTCATAAAACTTTTCACAATTTGAAACCACAATTTTTCAAAATATATTAAAAATAAAAATAATGTAACGTATTTCAGTTTAGAATACGAAGATAAAAAAGTATCAGTGACAGAGTTACAAAGTAATACAACCAATTTTCCATCAACAAGAGCACAGTTAGGCGACGACTATACAGAAAATGAAAAACTCACCGTTAAAACGACTCCATTAACATATAAACAAAATACTATTCAATTCGTTACCACAACCAAATCAGTACAAAATGTCAATAACGTACCGTACAGTACAATTGAATCAAGACTATTTGAAGACACAAACAGTGAAGACATCACAGATATAAGTAAATTTTCGACATCTCCAATTACTGAAATAGTAGAGGCAACAACCATTTTACCAGATTTTGACAATGGAGGTCCAACTGCTACGTCTAACTCAAATGCAGAAAAGACGTCATCATCTTATGTAGAAGATAACACAGGTACTGAATCAGTATTACTAACAAACAATTCGGTTTCTACTTTCACAACAAACAGCTATACAGAAACTAACACTACAATTCTTACCTACACCGTTACATCAACTGTAGTCAACAATGTCACCACTATTGATGACAGTATTTCAACTACTTCAACGAGTTCAAGTAGCAAAAAGAACACACATAATTTTGCAACAGACAAAGCAGTGTCCTATTCTACATTGCCCTTAGATTCCAATACAGAACTAGACTTTTCTACTACATCCACCACCACAAAAAATATTCTTAATAATTCTACTGAAGTAAATAGTAACACAAATAAAGAAATTTCTGACACAGAAGGTAACTTGACTGAGCAATCAAATAAAGGAACCATTTTTTTACCATTTTCCTTGACAAAAAGTAATACAAATAAAAAACAAATGTCAAATTCTATTGGACACATTTCAGGTGATGTACAAGGAAACATTAATGTTAACTTTTCTATACATTTCTCTTTAAATGCAACTTCTGTGTAAGCCATATTCTACAATTTTTGCTGAAGTAAGTTAATAATTACCACATAGACACATATCTACCAATTAAAAATCACGAATATTTGTTATTTTGAAATCATTTTAGCGGACATAGCATCGTACGTTCTAATAGCATCTTCACTGCTGGGAATGGGAGTTTTGTATTACATCTTGAGGAAGCTGTCAATTACTTCTGTTCGTGTTGACACAGACGATGTAGAAACCCACAAATATGCTAAATTACACGATGAATTTTTGTTAAATTAATACATGTCTTTATACGCTTGAACCTTTGCAAATTGTACCTACCTTTAGTACCTTCAACTGTGAATATACATATACTATGTTTTACGTTTCGTTATTCGTTCTTACCTTAAAACCAGAGAGAAACGTATATACAAGGAGTTCCAAAATTAAACAATTGTAGACCTTTTATTATTGTTCATTTATGCATCCAATAGTAAACATTGGATAACATCACCAAGTGAGGATGTTAGAAGAGAAACACGATTGGCAAAAATATTTGATGCAAATATATTTTTTTTATTACCTACTTACCACAATAACAAGAAAAAACATTTTTGGAACCGCTAACTCTATCAACAGCTCGGCTAGCTCTGTTAACAATTTCCATCAACGGCTCCCCTAAGTTACGTCCATGCCCTTTAATTAAATATTACTTAAAATTCGATGCGCTAACCATAACTATTTACCTCGTTTAATGTAGGGAACAATTCCAGAGGTCCTCAATAAATTTTTAAATAAATTTTAAGCACCTTTTTGCAATTTTAACTGTTCTGATTATTGAAAATGCTCATTAATAATGCATTTTGCTTACCAGTACCCTGGTGATTATTATCAATATGATCTATAACACATTTTTTTAGTATTTTATTTTTTCTCATTTTTATAAAGTAAATAAAATTTGAGCTATGTATACACATAATCACATAATTGATAACACACTACCCTTTCGTTTTAACAAATACTAGTTAACAACATATGAAATAAAAAATGATAAATCTCATTAAAAAGCATAAATAATAATTAATTTATTAACATTAACATCACACATATTCAATTGGTCATTTCTTTGGAGGCGTTAAGATCTGAAACATACAATTTTTTTGAAATTGTAAATATATCTGTTTATTTACTCTTTACCTGAAATGAGCAGAGCAAGTCTTCATTGATTGACATAAGTGCTCCCGCGTTGTCGAAAGTCCCGCAATAATTTGGGGCTGAGAAGATGGTTATCAGTTTTCTTTGGGCAAAGAATTCGTAACCATCCTCTACCACCTTAAAAATTCAATAAATGAATAAACACTAATGTCTTTATTTTTTTAAATTTTTTCAAAATTATATCTTTTCAGATAACATTGCACCGTATCTAGAAAATCTACCGTTTATGAGTCCTATAATAACAATAACAACTAAACTGATGCTACGCCGCATGCCTTAAGTGTATCTGAACGTATTATCACATCCATCCATACCCATATCATGGAGGTGGTAGAAATGTATACGCCCAGTTGAAGAATGCGCGTTCGGGCAAACGGCGTATAACATAGCCGCACTGGGCGACTGCGTAATAAATCTCAGTTGTTGACAAGTGGTTGACAAATTGCCTAGCAGTGCAGTGCAGCAATGCGGAATTTGGCGTGATTCAGATAATTCATATTATTGCGAAAGGGAGAAATGAGAGGGATATTTTGTTTACTAATATTATTACAACATGACATTTTGGAGACTTTTTGAAACAGAACAAAACGAAATTTACCATCAATATAATACAATTTTTTTAGGGACGCCTATGAAACTCATTAAATTTTCTTGCTAGTCGTTTTTATACATGTTCAACTGACTTCGGAAAGACGATATATTGTAATGTGTTTACTAAAATTTCAAGATATCTGTTCTACATTTATATATTTTATTTATCTTATAGTTCTATAAACGTAATTCTGTAAGTAGGTCTTTCTTAAATTCCTATCTATTTGACATACATATTTTTATATAAAAAAACTGCTTTTTATCGCTCCTATTTCAAGCAACTATGACATTTGAATTTATTTGTATCTAAGTGGGTGAGTCAATAAAAAATATCTTGAGTCAATGTAAACGAGGAACAATAAACATTATGGTTTTTGAGATTTATGATAATCTCAGTAGATTAGATTATAGTATACTTCTTACTGATCTCAGTACCTACGCAAACTTGAGTAAACTTGCCAAATTATTTGGAAATATATAAAATACAGAGTTTGGTAATATAAATAATACCACTACTGTTTACTATATTAAAAAATGATGATTTTAATGTACCATTTCCTAATAGGTACCTAAAAATACTTTCTTTGGGAGCTTAGTACTGGGATAATTTTTATTTTTTTATTGTGTGACAATTTTTTATAGTCTGCTTTGTTTCACACCAAAACGTATTTACTTTGTAATCTTAATTAATATATTATGTACAAGAATTTGATCAAAGATTAGTGTAAAAGAAGATAGTATATTTTCCTCAAATATAAAGTTTAATTTAATGATGTTTTCAATTTATTATTTTTTATCCCGTTTTTATCTTTTTTTTTATTGTTATATACATGTGTTAACTGTTCTTCAGTTACTTATGATAAGTAACACAACAATTTGTTTTAAGTAATAATTAAGTAAATCTGAAACTTTTACCTGGTGTCCTCTGCATATTAGATCAAAGTCATGCTTGTGCAAAAATTTCGATATAACATCTGGACCAAAAGAAAATGACACACCTCTGTCATTTTCCGTCCATCCCAAAGAAGGGCTTGGGTCTGACCATAACAAATCACAAAGTAAACCTAGAAGAACCCGAACATTGAGAAAAATAAAAAATATATGTCGTAGCCACATATTATAAAACCGACCGTTTTATAAAACGATAGTTTATAAAAGGCGGACAGATTCATTTTTGTCCCACGTTCAATTATTCCTGACTTTTGCTACACATCTGTACTTAAACATATAAAATAATTACCTTAATTTTTATTAATTATATCTACAAAAACTTTTAAATCAAAACGTGTACTCATTCCATATAAATCTACTTCCATTAGAAAATTTTTACTTGATAACAGACGAATTCAACAGATTAGCAATTTCTTTGCCTTCGCAATATAAAAAAATTATTACCTTGTACTGGAATGTCTGTCGGCCTGTCTATGTTCCTGATTTGTCCTATATGCAACAGATCCGGACTTAGCCCGCCATGGCAGCAAAATATCTTATCATCTATGATGGCTGCTACAGGCAAAGTGTTAAAAACATCGGTGAATGTTTTGAATAATTTAGTGTTGTATCTCCTTTTACCTAAAAAAATCAATTAACGTTAATATTAATGCCAATATTATAAATACCAATTACATTCCTTTAATACAGGGTGTTAGAGAAGTTTGACTAACTTAATTTTAACAGACGATAGAATACAAAATAAACAAAAAAACCTTAAACGACATGGGTCCTATACTCAACCATTTCCGAGAGAAGAATTATCAAAATCTCCAACTTGATGTACAAAAGTTCGATTAATTAAGGAATATTGACATAACTGTGTGCATGGAATACCATAAAATACAATGTTTATCACTTTTTTGAACTTCTTTATGCTTAATTCTAAAAAGTAATTAACGTTATAATAAATTTAAAATTCGATAAAATTAGGTTAAGCGCCGTTGTCACGTTGTATTGAAACTCCCCAATATTAATACTCGCTGTATTTTGAAAACTGTTAATCTTACGCCCCTGTAATATACAACTTTTTTGTTCATTTATGATTATCTCATGCTGAAGTAATGGCAGTCAAACTTCTTACACCCTGTATAACCCCTTTGGCCAAGGACGGAGTTGTGAATTGCCTATAACTTACATTCATCGAAGAATCCGTAAATTTTACAAACGGATGCAACTTCATGGTTTCCTCGAAGAAGGAAGAAATTTTCGGGATACTTAATTTTGTACGCGAGTAGCAAGCATATCGTTTCTATGGACTGTTTCCCCCTGTCAACATAATCGCCCAGAAACAGGTAGTTCGCTTCGGGAGGAAATCCTCCGAATCCGAACAGTTTTAGTAAATCCTGAAACTGACCATGAATATCACCTAAAACATGTTTTCACACTAAGAAAAGAAGTTGCTAAAAATTACGGTTTTTGATAAAATGTATATGTATCACTATCGACTAGAAAATCAACAAGGTTATATATCCTAAAAACAGTAAAAACACTATAGCTTTGTTCCTAGTAGAAACCAAAACAGTTTCCAACAGTCAGACGCATGCGCATATGGATATAATGCTTACATAAGGTTCAAAATTCATTGTTTTGAACCAAATGCGATTGCGTCGGACTGTTGGAAACTAATTCTAATGCACTTGGAACAAAGCTTATACCTATATAAATTATTTTTAAAACAATTTTGATAAAGCAATCAAAGCATTCAAGAACAATTATCCAATTGTTCATGAATTGTTCTAATTCTAGTTGTTTTTCCAAATGTTGTCAAAATCGTTCACTCACCGCAAACTTTTATCGGAGCTTCCAATTCCAGTAACATTGGTTGAGCCAAGAATACGCTCATGGCTTTCATACAGAGAGCCTTTATGTCCGATTCATGTAGTGATATCATTTTGGTTTTTTTACTTTCTCTGACTGAAAATGCGAATAGGTCAATGAAATGGATTCGATTCATAAATTCAGATGTTTATGAATTAAATACATGGCGTTAATTAAGTACGTGGACAAACTTCAAAGGGTGATTCTTTGAGTGATTTTCACTAATATTATTTCCAGAAGCTACGTCACGAAAAATCAAAAGTAAGGTGAAAAACGAAGTAAACCTGCTTTCAACAGCAGTTTTTTTCTACTGTACCTATAAATCCGCTGGCAGCAAAAATGCATGTAGAAAAAAACTGTTATTTTGTTCCCGTTATTTTTCGGTACGAATAGAAACAAATTTGATGATGGTGAACATGATTTACGAGATGTTACAAATCAATCAAATCATCACTGTTTAAGACAAGTTTATCTAAATTAATCTTTGGAAAGTAACGTAATTCTTAAAAACATACAACTAATAAAATGTATTATTAACTCGGCACGTTCTTAGAATAATACAAAAAGGATCATTTTTACTTTAATTTATGCTTTATAGATACCTAGGCAGTTTTTGAATGAGTAAAGTTACAGGATGAATAAATATTTAGACATGCCTGATTATGTTAATCCTCATTTGACAAATTTAATGCCTTCTCCGTACGTAATTTTAAACTTATCTACGGATGCACTAAATTTCCATTATCTCATGTCATTTACTCTAAATGCATGGAGTTAAAATATAGGTATTAATACGATACCGAGTGATGTGTTTACTTGTATCACCTAAAGTAAATTTTGTCTAGATTTTTTGAGGCAGTAATTAATAAACTGGAATTAAATACTTTTAAGATAGGCTTGAAGTATCAACCCAGAATCTTTAATTACCTACTTTCTTAAAAGGTAGTGAAGATTACAAATATTTTATCAATATTAATGAATCATTAATTTACAAATTTTTAGTTGATAAGTGTCAGAACTTCAGAAGACCAGGAAATTTTAAAATAGTTGAACATATTTTAGGAACGATTATTCTCAAAGACGTTACCAAAAATTCTCATAGCCACAACACACGATAGTGTTTGTAAAATAATGAATATAAAACAAATTACAAGTATGAATAATATGAAGATGAAATTTCAAAGTTTTTTTTAAAGGTTTACGAGAGATAAGTGTAATTAATTAACAAAACGATAATTATCAAAACTATGAATACACATACAGCTCAGCACTTATCTTCTCTGCTTATCTAAGCAAAATAACCAGAATTCTTTACGAACTGCCTCCTGTATTATGGCCACTATGTTAAGACTCACCTTCCTTCGAAGTCAGTTTCATTATTATTTTGTCTACATTCACACCGGAAGCCATTTGAAAAGGTAAATTTACCCCTACGGACACAGGTAAACAACATGTATCTACAACAAAATTGCAAAACTAATCGTAGTTCAAACTCTGATAAGATAAAAACGATATCGTATTGGGACCTGTAAGTTATATTTAATTACAATGTTATTAATTAATTGCAGGCAAACATTACCGAAATCGGTCGTAAAAACGTGGGCCTATAATAAAAATTTTATAGGCGGATACTTTGGGCAATCAAAGGTTATATTAATCCATGACATTAATGGAAAACGTTGGATTAGTAAATTTGGACAGGGATATTAACAACTAGAAAAGAAAGTAGGAACAAAAATAAAATATAAGTCAAGGTTGCATCCCAGGGGTTCAATCCGGCCAATATTTCATAAACTCAGAAGTGAATTAAATATTATTTGTTAGTACACTCATTTAATCACGTGACGAAATAAATTACGAACCAAATAAGTCTGCACAATGTTTTGCAACAGCGCTCGCAATTTTGCGGTTATCTTTAAAGATTTCAATCAGATAAATAGGTTAAAAAAATGTTATCTAATAAAAATGTATGCAAACAATATACTTTAGAAACTATACCTGCCTGAACACTTTATCTAACGCTTTTTTTGTCTTTAACATGCAGTTATTGATTCTTACAATTACATATGTATTTATGGTATTTAATGGTTTTACATTTATATTTCCATTCTGCAAATATAGTTATTAGGGTGGCCCAAAACAAAACGAATATTTTTTTTCGTCTCTTGTGAAAATATGTTAGTTTATCGTGTTTTAAGAGCCACCTCAAAAGAGCCCCCTCAAAAAATCAGCTCAAAAAAATTTTTTTAGAGGTCGCTGAAGATTTTTAAAAATTTCCAAAATCGTCAAAGATTTTTTTCTCGTTATTTTATCATTTTCTAGGCCGAAAAAAATCTCGATTCTGAAAATTTCAAATCAATGTTTTAGTTTCTAAAGGTCGCTCATAATTATTTTAACTTAAAAAGTAGTGTACCTATTTTCGAGCGACCTAAAAATAAATATCAACGAACTAATAATTTTTTTTATTGAATTGAACAAAAGAATAGAAATAAATCACGACACTTAAATTTTAAAAAATTTAAAAATTATAAATATTTGATACAGTCTGTAATAAATTTTGCCTCGAGATTTTTTTTAAGTATCTCGTGATTTATTTCTATTAATTTATTCATCAAATTCAATAAAAAAATTGATTAGTTCGTTGATACTTAATTTTAGAGGTCGCTCGAAAACGTTTTAGGTACACTACTTTTAAAGTTAAGATAATTATGAGTGACGTTTAGAAATTAAAATATCGATTTGAAATTTTCAGAATCGAGAATTTTTTCAACCTAGAAAATGATAAAATAACGATAAAAAAAATTTAAAAAAAAATAAATTTTTGACGATTTTGGAAATTTATAAAAATTTTAAGCGATATCCAAGAAATTTTTGAGCTGATTTTTTGAGGGGGCTCTTAAAACATGATAAACTAACATATTTTCACAAAGGACACGAAAAAAAAATTATTTTTTTTTGGGCCACCCTAATAACTATTTTCAAAAAATAAAACTATGGAATTTGAAGCAACCAATAAAAAATCTTAAAAGAAAAATTATAAATTAAAGGAATAAATATCTGCACAAGAAATAAATGATTTATTTTTACCTAAAGAAATTACTACACATTTTTTTATAACCAGTCTAAATCAGTTAAATCAAAAGATAACAAGTAACAAAACCAAAGTTCGAAAATAATGGTTAAAAATCAAATCAAATCTCAATTTTATATAAAATATATCTTCTTTATTTGCATTGAAATTGTAATGTGCCATCGATTTCGTATAATGTACCCGATGTTCAGCCTGCGCATGCGCTTTTGGACTGTTCTATGTCGCAAGCGACCCCATTTCGAAAAACGTGTTATATTTATTTTTCACATTTTACTTAATCCAGTGCGATTAAATCGTGTGCGAATGTTAGAAGTCAATCTGGTAACAACAAGGGTAGTCTTAAACGAACGTATTTGACAGATCAAAAACGTTGCGCAATAAACATTTTTTATCAAGAAATTCCAACGCGAAACGTGGATATGTTGATGAGTGATGCCGCGGAAATGTGCAGTTCTTTAACAAAATTGTATGTCAAAAAAGTTTTATCGTGCGATAAAAGGTGATGGCAGGAAAAATCGACATTGACAATGACGTTAAATATGCGATTCGTACGAAGGCTGACGGAATTAATTTTAACAATTAACTTCCAACATTAAATAAGACAATTCAAACTACAATCACAGAAGACAAACATTTGCCGCCCTCTTTGTCCTGAAGAACTTTTCTTAGTAAATATGTATAAAATGATCTTTTGTTACTTAAATATTAAATATCTTTGCTACGAGGGCAAAATTGCTGAATATGTACTTTATTATAAATAAAAAAAAATACCTACCTACCTGTTGGATGTTTGGATACACCAAGGTGAATGTAGATTTGTACAAATAATAATTTTAACTAAAATTGACACATTTATTTATTGTTCTATATTTAATTTCTCTAAAATGATACGCCTATGGAATCGCAATCCCCGTGTCCCTTGTCCATCTTACAGACTTACGTGTTGAAAACGAGCCCCAGCCTACAATTTTGGAACTTCCAAAAATGAGTAATTGAATTAAATAAATTAACTAATGTAATAATATGTTTATTGGTCTATTTATCACGAGATCAATATATTTGGTTTTTTATTACATTCTAAATAAAAATTAGTTAATACTTTATAAAAAAATAATGCTTTTGTTATTGTAAATATCATAAGTATAAAAACACTCACAGGACAATTCTATTATTGCAAACATTGTGCAAAAATTCCTCGTTACTTTCCTGCAGTAACAATTTGTACTTATTTTTTGGATGACGCTTACATTTAAGGCACTGGATAATCTTCTTCAGCCATTGGCTATCTGCAATCCCCACCTAAAAAGGAACGATGAGTTGGGAAAACCAACAAATCACAGTAATATTAACAGAAACCGTACCTCAATAAATATGGCCAGAACAAAGTGGGAAACTGGGAAAGCCAGCAATGAATATCGGAAGTTCTCTTGGTCGTGTGCCCTGTGCGGCAGAAACATGATATCCATGATTTCCGCCAGAAACTTATTGGGTTGGACCATCAATATCGTAATAAATACTGTTAAAACTAAGGCGCAGAATAAAAACCAGAAATTAGTGATCAGCATTTGCCTATAAGGCCTGCCTTTGGAGTACACCGTGGCTAAAACAATATACTGATAACAAGACACGGTGAACAACACTGTATTTTCCCATGATAAAATAACCTCTCCAATGGTGTCATTCGGTATTGGCTTAAACCATACTTGTTGGAATAAGTAGAATAAGGCACCGCCTTGCATCAAAGCGCAAGTTACTATCTGTAATATTAGAGGTATTACATTTTTCGATGCTACCAGGGAGCTCATCGGTCGTTTGGCGCCCAACGATGATGCCGGACCTAAAAGTGAAAATGAGACAGGAATTTGTCAAAATCAGTGGAGAATAAATATATATTGTTTGAACACTTAAAGATATGATTAATAACATACTTGAATATTATTATCCTCCTAGTTTTCCTTCCACCAAAAAAAAATCAAAAATATGTAGATATTTTATTTTAGCATACTACAGTGATGTTACCCCCTAAGGCCAAATTTCATGGATCTATGGTAAACATTTTAAAGGATATTTAAATAATATGTATAGTCGATTTGATATCTTATGCTATTTTATTATTTATTTATTTTTTTTTTTAGAAGCAAATTAAATATTCTTAAATTTTCTGTTTTTGAAATATCTTTGCGTTACACCCTGCAGAAATGATTTTGACAATGTGAATTTTTTGTATTTATAAACTGTAATTTTCTTAACTTACCTTGTCTGCCAATTGTAACTGCGAGACTAGTAGTAATAACTAAATCGATAAATAAAAACTGGTGGTCTGACAACAGAGAATGGTGCTAAAATTTAAACATTGTACATCTCTAAAAGATTCGACGACACGAAAAAATAACTTACTCTGTATAATAAAAGGATGGTAAAGAACTGAATCAAGCTGTACATGGCCATATATTTAAAAATTGCGAAACTGGTAATTATGGCACACCGACCCTCCAGAATTAAATGGATAAGGCAGGAAATGTTTTCGATGGAAGAGGTAAACGGAGCTGCTACGCTAGCTTCGGCTTGAGATAAAGATATCCCCACATGGGCAGCTTTTAAAGCCTAAAAATTGTTTTCGAACAATACACATAATGCTGAAAGTTTAAAAACTTAAATATTCAAAACAATTTTCTAAAAATCCTTCACAACTTGAAAAAAACAAATTCAAGTTAATTATTATTAATATCGTACTTACCCCACAGTCATTTGCTCCATCGCCAACCATCGAGACGACATAGTTCAAAGTCTGCAGGTATGAAACCACCTGCGTCTTTTGATCTGGCTGAAATCTCGCAAATATCGTGGTTCTGACCAGGATATGCGGTAACAAGTGTGGATAGAAACTCTTAAGTTTGTTCCAGGTTCTCCCATCGATCGCAAAATGATAAGGCTATAACAATAAGTCGAAATAAATGAGCTCTAAAATTTATTTGTTGTTGTCGTTCAACATATAAAATCCTATTACTGAATGGGGTGAAATCAAAGTAAAAACTAATGAAATAAAAATAAATAGTAAAATAAAAAGTGCATATAAATATAACAAACAAAAAATTAACAAAAATTAAAATAACATAAATACAAATACTCACATTTGATTCAACATTGATAATAACGTTCTCATTCGAACCGCCAGATCCGGCTTCACTTAAATGAAACGTAGGATCTACATTAAGATCATCACAATTTTCCATACTTAAAATGAAAATTTTTTCATTGCTTTTTACCATTCCACAATCCCGTGAAACAGATACGGCAGTTAGTATATTATCACCTAAAAATCTGTCATTTACGAAATTTATAACACGTACGAATCTAGTATAAAGTCACCTGTAATCATCACAGTCCTAATTCCAGCATTGTGTAGAGTTTGTATAACTGGCGCCGTTTCTTTCTTCAAAGGATTTTGCATTATCATGAGACCCAGAAAATGCAAATCACACTCAACCTGAAAATGTTTATGTCTTCGTTGATTATAATAATAGCCGTTACAAAAAGTAGGTCAAACTAGAGATTCTTTGGGAGACAGTAAAGGAACTTTTTGAGAAACTCTGTATATATCCTACACTCCAGATTCAAAACAGTAGGCAGTAAAGTTATAAATAAATAAAACCACAATTTTTATTTCTTCTGAGCCTGACAAATTAATTTTGTGTATTCTCTGCACGGAAATTGTAATGTGCCATTCATATCGCATAGTGTTCCAATAAATTGACCTCCAACCTGAGAGAAATTTCAAAATTCATTCAGAAAAAATAAATATTTATCTAGATCTGGATTGTAGCCAAAAGTTTTACTGTGTATTATGCATGAATTGAATTTTTGATATTTAAAACGCTATTGAAACTGCATACTAAAAGAAAATAATGAAAATTTGTTATGGCGAAGAAAGTATTTAGAAAAAATAATATTGTTGTCCATCTAATCTAATTTAAAAAAAAAAATCTTTTTAATAATTTTTGGAACCCTTTAAAATGATATGCCCATGGAATCGCATTTTCCGCGCGCCCTACACGTCGCGTAAACGAATTACGGGTTGAGAACAAGTCACCTACTATTTTGGACTCCGAATCAGAAAAATCTACTAATCTATGACCATTTTTATTACCGTGTCTCGTTTGCATTTCTGAATTTCCTTCCAGCTACACTTCTTTGACAGTTCCTTATAGGCAAGGGCGATGACTCTGTATCCGCAAGTCGTATAATGGGACAGAATAATACTGAAATCCGGGGGTAGCATTTCTGAAAGGCACATGCCGTAAATTTTCTCCGGGGCGCCTTTCGTAAATGCAATCATGTTGGGGCTAATGGTGGTGCGACATATCACAGACATGCACTGAAGTGTGGAGGAAAACGTAAATTGACGCAGTATGCCAATCTGATAGGAGCTCTGAAATATCAAAAAGATCTGATGGAAAAATAATAAATTTCGTAGTTCTGACAATAAAAACCTAGAAAAATATGAATGACTGATTTTAACAAGAAATTACAAAATACTTTACCTCTGAATCGTTTTTTTGCAGCAACTGCTTAGTAAGTCCCCTACAAGGTCTTACGACTGTAGGGGCCAGCATGTCATAACGACTATTCTCCTTCTCGCCAGATTCTTCAAGTTCCTAAAAGAAAACCCATGGTAATTTACGCCGGCATTTACCTACAATTACATGCTCTACCCATTGCGTGAATTCAAACATGTTTAGATCTAAAGGATCACCATTTAACACACCATCGATTCTGGTCAATGAATGACAAGAGGCCATCGCTTGAGTCAAAGGACTATGTATATCAAGATTATTTATGTCAATCGTTTCTTCAGAAAACCGGGCATTGGTGCATGGTACAACGCATTTCATGTCTAGACCATCTTCAGTGAGAGTCCCCGTCTAATAATTAAATTTATTAAAAGTAGTTTTGAAAATTGAGCGGCTCGTACAATTTATTTACCTTATCGAAGCACGCCAATTTAACTTTTCCGCAGATATTTATCCTAGGAGGGCTGATGCAGTATATTCCAATTTTTTTAAGTCGATTTTGACTGTAAACTGTACCAACCGCCATTGCGGCAGGTAAAGCTGGCGGTACTACTATCGTGATTATATCCAGTGTACGTAGAATAATTTGTTTAGCATGGGCCTAACAATGAAAAAATTCATGTCAGCATTAAACAAGAAGAGTGAATAAACATATTTGTGCGGTCGATACGATACGTACATGCCTCGAAATATACAAGTACAAGCAATAGCTCATTCCAACAGCGGCCACCATGAATAAGAACAAAATGAACTTAAAACTGTCTCGGTAGAACTTCAGCCCCACTGGAGCGGGGAATAGAATACTTTTTACTAAGGCTCCTTTGGTAGTGTCAAAGCCCGTCCTTATTACCCTAGCCAACACAAGCTCTCTGTCATAGAATCGCGTCTGCAATATGTGGGTCCCTGAGAAAAGCGTATGTCTTTTGTGTAAATCTGGATGATACATTTCCGGGCTATGATGAAGAGAGGTCTTGGTAACGGGAACGCTTTCTCCTACAATTGAAGCCAAAGCTCTAGTTTTTTCCTCAGTTCAAATTTTTAAAATGCCTGCTTACCCGTTAAAACACTTTCGTTTACAATGCATTGGCCCGTAAGCAATACGGCGTCGCAAGGCATAACAAAATCTGCCGAAGGAAGAACAATTAAATCACCCGGAACCAAATCTACTGGGTCGATAAGTTCCGTAACGTTTTTGGAATTAATGTTGCGGCGTAATACTTTTACTTCGGCACATTTTGAGGATACTACCAAGTCGTGCAGAGCTTGGCTTTGCTAAAAATATATCATTAGCGAAGTGAAAAACATATTTTAGGTGTTGCATTTAAGATGGATTTGCAGAAAATAGGTTTTTTCATGATTAAAGGAATGAAAAAAAAAACATATCTTTTTTAACAACAAACAACACCGAAACTACATTTTAAATCCATATTTATGTATCAAAGTAGCCTTAAATTCAACCCGAATAGCAAAATCCAATATATAGGGTGTTTTACATGAAAAAATTAACTTAGGTAATGCCCAGAAGAAATGAAACAACCTATATCTTTGAAGATAGTTTTAAATGTGATAGAATTAATTCGTTGCAACTTTTATTCGAAACATTTGTTGTATTATTCACGTTGCCAGATAATATAACAAAGTGAGAATTAATACCGAGTCAATTACTTCAAAAAATGAATATAGGAAATGACTGATAAAGTGGGATTTGGGGAAACACTTGTATTTTAAAAAACAAACATTTCGAGTAAACGATAGCTTATCACAGCTGTTTACCAAGCTATTTTCTGTTGAAATTGTTGTCAAAATCTGTACGAAGTTTTAAAATAAACAAAAACTGCTACTGTAGATACCTATCTTGCACAGAAATGCTTACAAAATCAATCAATCAATCAAATTTCAATTCAGAATTTTGCTTTACAGTTATTAGCAACGAGCAATTAATTATATTGTGAACATACATCAGTTTTCAACAAATTTTCTATGAACTTACTTTACGGGTTTGTATTAATGAAGTAATACTGGAAAACAGTGTTAAAACAACAACACAGAGCGCATATGAAACATAATCGTCGAATAACCATAAAATTACAGAAAAGGCTTGAAACATATAAAAAGGGTTGAACACCTCCTCAACAAATAATCTCCAATACGATTTAACTTCCACTTCGATTTTATTTTCCCCATACAGTTGGAGCCTAAAACAAAAATCCATAAACTGAAACTTAAACCATAACACGAAAGTTAATTAAAAATTAGGTAAATAAAAATATTACTTCATCTTGAATTCCTACCTATTTCGATAATCATCCTCGTGTAAACCATTCAAATCTGTCAAGTATTCGTCAACTGTTGCTAAGGGGATTAAATCATCAAGAGTTCCATACTGGTGTCGTTCGGATATCCATACATACTTTGTGTGTTGATAAATAAAATATCTTACATTTATAACATCTCTTCCTAAATGAGGAAGTTGCATCTCCTCATTTTTAATTTTTATAAATGATATTTGACCGTGATTACCACATGCTAGAAAATCAACGGTAAATTAACAAAAAAATTTGAGAGAAAATTTAGATATACTAGTTTAGCTATGTATGTATATATATAGTTACAAATTACAATTAATATTTTATGTACATAGGTACACAAACATATGTTATACATACATAGGACATTGTTTACTTAAATCTTCCAAAATTTAGAATAACTAATAATAAAGAAAACTGAAAAACTGACGTTTCTCTTTACGCATTGAAATTTGCAAATATTTATTTTATTTGAAATAGTCTTTTAATATTTAGCTACTTTTAGATGTAACATAATAATTAGACAGGTACCAGCCCCTTCTGATAATTAAATTTTTTAACAATTCAAGGTCGCTGTTAATTATCTGTCATTCATTAAATATCTTTGTTTTGCATAACCATATTGTCAGTGATTAAATTAATCAAATGGGGAAGTATACATTATACAGCCACATATACAGCTAATTAAAGGGACTTCCCCAGTTTTTCTTGGGGTTTCCCGTTAAAATCTTCGAGTTATCAACTAAACTAAGGATTAAATGAAAAACAAATTTGTTTTCCTTCAACTTAATCAAGGAAATAAAAAATTCTCTCAAGTAAATATAAACATTCTCACCTAATAAAATTGTAGCTTTGTCGAGGGCACATTTTTCATATTTTACAGTTCCCAATTTTGGATATATTTTAATTATTAAATAAGGAATACCCAAAAGTAAGATACTAACTAAGTAATGTAAAAGAGTATTTGTATTATTTTCGATATACCCAAATATTTTACAAATCGTTTCATCTTTACTATCATTTAAAAGTTCTTGACAGTAACTAGTGTTCCTTATAGGTTCATATTCTGAAACGAAAAAAAAAAATCGGTAATGTTGGCAGTTAAATAAATAAAATATATTAAGTTACAGTCACAATTTAACATACCACAATTCCTTCTGCCACGAAACATTATATAATATCACATATTTAAAAAAAATATATAGTCAAAAGAGAAAACAGAAAACCGCTTAGTAAAATATTTTGTTTGTCTATTTGCAATATTCTGAAAAGACTTGACTAATAGTTATTTACGCTACTAACAACTAATCGTTCCGTTTCTCTACTGATTATATTATTCTATCGAATCCCTCCTACCCACATCCTTTGTTGTATTTTGTATGTAGCAATTTCTCTAATCAAGTTTGACGTGGTTTTAATCGTCATTAAAAAATGTAGCCACTTAACCATGACAATTAGACATTTATTTACAAAACTTTAAGTTCCTTGTATTAAAGTAAAAGAGTGGTTAACTACTGATAACAAAAATCGAAAATAATAAACAATAATCAATGTGAATTTTGTTACACGATTATAGCAGCTTCAAGAACCATGCGACGGCTATATTATAGGCGTATTCGCTCAAATTTCACATAACATTTATCTAGGCACATAACCCCTGCCTGCCATAGCACGTGGAACGTTTACCATGGAAGGAGCCAAAGGTCGGCTGTCGTGTGAAATGACTATCAGCGTTCTCCATTTATCCGCACTTTTGCACTTAGTGTGCATTGAGACTATTTCCATCTTTTATTACTCGATTTGATATTAGAGGATAGACATATTCACAGTGCCCACCGAGTGCAAAAGTGCAAATGAATGAAAAACGCTGTAAATGAAACTACCATAGACCTATAGAAATCTATGGTGGTGACATATGACATATGTCAAGCAGTTGTCAATTTTGTGTGTCAGGGTTATTTTATTTATTTTATTTGGTTAACGGCACATTTTAAGTGTTATGTGGTTAACGGAGGCCAAAAAGTAACTTTAATCTCAATAAATTATAATTAAAAAAATGCCGATTTATGAAACGTTAACCAGCGATAAACTTGTTGTTGTTTTAGATATTGGAGCAGCTTTTACAAAGTATTTATGTAGGAATTTTTAAAGCAATGGCACAAGCTAATATTTTTTTTTTAGGTTTGGTTTTACAGGTGAATTTGCTCCAAGAAACATTATCAAATCAGAAGTTAGATGTAAAAAAACTGGAGAATTGAAAAGATTATGGGATTTTAAAACACCCGATGAATTATATGACCTACTGGTTGAATTTATACACATTATTTACTTCAAGTTCGCCTTGTTAAGTCCTAAAGATAGGCCTATTGTAATTGTGGAATCGTTGCTATGTCCCACTTTGTTCAGAGAAACGTTAGCAAAGGTGACGTGTTGCTAAAAGTATTTAATGTTATTTTAATGTACTTTTTAATTATAGGTTTTATTTATACATTATGAAATATCATCAATGCTGGTTTTACCATCTCATCTGATCTGCTTATCTAGTATAGCAGTGGACACAGCAGTAGTTGTAGATGTGGGTTATAAGGAAGCTGTGGTTATACCAGTTTGCTATGGGTTGCCGATTGTGCAAGCATGGCAAGCTCTACCCCTGGGAGCCGAAGCTATACATAAGTAAATTCTTAACTAAAACTAGAGACAAATTGATGAAAATGGAATTTTTATTTTCAGTAATTTGAAGACGGCATTAAGTAGTAACAATACAGGTATTCAGAATATACCGGAATCGACCTTGGAAGATGTAAAAATACGTTGCTGTTTTATAACCAAAAAATCTCGTGCAGAACAGCTGGCCCTTGTGAAACCCGAAATTACACCATGTCCAGAAGTAAAATATCCCCTTGGTAAGAAAACTTCGATAGAAAAAGTTTGCCGTTAGTAAAATTTTTTTATTTAGGTGGAAGTGAAAGTATTACTGTTACTGGAAAAGTGAGAGAACGTGCTTTTGAAATACTTTATGAAGAAGATAACGACCATCTTTGCTTGTCAACAATGATACTGGATGCTATTTTGCATGTTGATAGAGATTTGAGACAAAAACTAGCTGAAAATTTGGTGCTTATCGGGGGAACCACCATGGCTCGCGGTTTTAAAGCTAGACTTAAGGAAGAGCTAGAGAAACAACTGAAGTTTGATAGATATAAAAAACTCAATATTACAAAATTTGCTTTCCATACCTTGCCTTGTAAGGAAAATTATGCAGCTTGGTTAGGAGGTGATTCTAATTTTTTTTACCAGTAGTTGCTTTAAATAGTGTTAAGTAAAAGGTTATATAAACATGAGTTCATAATCGATACTCTTCGGGTGTTGAAATTTATAAAAATCTCACCTTTTCTAAATTACCTCTGAAGATGTTTGACATAGAATGATAAAACGTTGATTCATTTATTTAATGGTAAAAATCCACTAAACTCGGATATAAATAATTGTTTTGAGAAAAAATTTTCTAAATATATTTCATATAACAATTTATGGTAAATCTTACGAATGTGTATTACATGTTCAAACATCAGAAAAATATATTATGTAAACCTAGTTAAAAAAAAGTCATGCTAACAAATTATTAATTCTTTTCATAGGTGCTATATATGGAGCAACGGAACTCTTGAATATGAAAACTCTAACCAAGGAAAACTATTTTAAGGAAAATCGTTTACCAGATTGGATTAATTTAAAAGATAATATTCGTACACTATAAATATTAATAGTAATAGTATCAACATATTGCTTTATTTAATTAATCTATTTATTTTTATTATGATGTTTTCACCACTTTTTAATAAAATATTTATTTGCAGCTATGTTTGGTTACTTATTACATTCGTATTCCGATTTTCTTGGTCAATTTTTTCACTTTGCGTCTTACAGTTTGAAATATGTTCCTGGATTTTAATTATATAAAAATACAACAGTGGTAAATTGATTAATTTATTAATTAAATGTAAATAAAACCCTCTAAAAATATAATAATACAAACTAAACAATTAAGATTTCATCTCGGAAAAAATTACTTGCAAACCACAAGCAATCTTAAGAACATGTTTAATTTCTCTCGATACCACCATAAAAAAAAGAATAAATATCAAAATACTAAACAGAATACGGTTTTATTAAATATTCTGAAAACTTTTTTACATTATCTGCTCCTCTAACTTCCTTTTCCAAAAGTGGCAACTTTGTGACATGGAAATCTTCATAGAGGTCATGAATTTGGTCAAGATATTTTTCTTGAATTTTATACCTAGCCGAGCACATTTTACACGAGTCTTCATCTGATTTCTTGAACAATAACTGATTTACAATGATATTATGGGTATCTATTTTACATTTAGTCAATTCTTGAACCAAACGTTCCGTTTCATACAAAGACAGAAATTCCGCAATGCAGACACAAACAAAAGTAGTCTGATCAGGATTTTTAAATTGTTCATTAACTTGTTTAATAACGGACAACATTTCTTCCATTTTTGCAGAAAAATTATCAGCATTGAAATCAGGAATGCCTAACAGTCCACTTAACTGAGAAATTAATGGAGATACTCTAAGTCTAAGGCGTAATAATTTTCCTAAACCTTTTTCTACTACCTGGGGGAATGATAACAAGCGTAATGTATGACCTGTTGGAGCTGTATCAAAGACTACCGCTGAAAAATTCATGCTTTTTATAAGTTTCATGACTTCTGCATAACTCATAGCTTCATCAATACCAGGAAATGCTCCAACAATTTCTTGTATAATACCTGAAACAAGTATTAATTCCTACTAAATTCTATAAAGGCAGTCTTAATTAGTTAAATGATTTTTATCATATATATGTAGTTCAATTTTTTTAACGTGGGCGTTACCTTTACTCATTTTCATGGCATCTGGTTCTCCATCAAAATATTCATCTGGTAACTCATTAAAACCTACATTAGGATCTATTTCCATTGCATATAAGTTAGCAAAACCTTTAACCAGTGTAGGTACTTTTGTAAATTTCTGATCGAACGCATCAGATATATTGTGAGCCGGATCAGTTGATATAATCAAGACACTTTCTCTGACTTTGGATAACTGTACGGCCAAGCTGCAACTGTAATTAAATAATGATGTATCAAATTATACTTTGACTATAATTTAGTTACCTGCAAGTTGTTTTACCAACACCACCCTTTCCTCCTACAAATATCCATTTTAATGTAGTTTGGTCTATGACATTTTTGAGTGAAGGTTCTAATTGTTCAAATTCTGACATTGTGCGATGTGTACTGCTATTAAATATTTGAAAATATGTATTTACAGCTATCACCAATGTGACATTTAAAGCGAATATAGAACTGTTAACCTAAAAAAATAATGGTCCAGATGTCAAACATGTGTCATACACATACACTTGTCACTCATTAAGCCTTGATCCACATGCATGCGTGAGCGCGGATCTGCTGTAACCACGTAATCATCAACAACCAATTGTGCGTGAAGCGACTTGACATACCGTCAAGGTCAAAACGTATTGGATGTTGAGCCTGGATCGACATGCATGCGTGATAACGGATATCCGTGATACGTATATGCGAAATTTGGCCCATCCACATGAAATGTATGTGATAGTTTGTACATACTATCTCCGTCATTCTACTTTAACGATGTTGAAATTGGGTCTATTATATATTTTGTGGCATCAGGTATGCATGTGCATCCAGGCTTTGGTTTTGCTGTCAAGTGAAGTGTCAACACTCTCAACGGCTGTGCGACATTTATAGTTGAATGTGTTTACAGTCTATATTTTTATTTTTAGCAATCCCATGTTTTTTTTTATACTCATATCTTGATATATGCAAAATTTTTGGTTATAAAAGGACGCACGTTGAGGTGGGAAAGAAAGGAAAAGTCATATAGGATCAAAATAATTTAATACTGATACTGTTATATTTTTACATAAATATATTTTACTTTTGAAAGGTATTCTAAAATTATCTATAATTATTAACAGTTCGATTATATTCTCTAAAAATCAACATTATAATACATCACACAGTCTGTTACAAGTAGGGTTTTACATAATCTTAAGGCATAAAAATGAAAATCAAACTGTTCGTAAAGAAAATCAGAAGGACCAGCTAGAAAAATGCTTTGAAACTAATTCTTATGTATAACCTTACGTTAACAACAAACAACAGTTTCACTTTCACAGTCATGGAAATTTTAAAATACATATAAAAAATAATCATTTAAAATATACATAAAAATTGTGCTATTTGGCAAGTATTAATCTACTTAAAGGAACATATATTTACACGAGTTTACCATTAAATAAATAAATTAAGGCAATAATAAGTTCGTTCCGTTGAATACTTGTAGCAGAGCACAAAATAATATTGAAAATTGCATTAATTTTCTGGATGTTTTTTGAGTCGCCTAAAGTTTGTGCTAGACTTTGCAGCAGCTGATATTCACGAAAATTACGAAGTCCACTGAAGCAATTTCGCTGTAAATACTGAATGGAGCAAACTTATAATGTATATCTATAATGGCAACCGTTTCGTTGGGACGATTAGAAAAAATTAACAGACGATCTTGCGATTTTAATTTTAAACTCGAGAAAATATACAAAACTCATTGAAATATGCAAATTGGTACAAAAAATTATATATTTTTAAAAAACTTACGTTACAGATGGCACATATTGACAAATTTAATATTTTTACTTAAAAAAATATTTTTATTTTTTATTTATTAATTTCATTTTTGTCTGGTAATACAAGAATAAAAACTGAATAAAAAAGAGATTGGAAAGAAAAAACAAGTTTAGAGCGAAGCTGTTAATTTTTAATAACATCCTCAAACTTTTTTTAATTTTTAAATAAATTAACTAAATTTATTTAATGAAAAACAGAAAATCATGTATTATGAAATAAATCTACAATTTGCTGGCACTGAAGCGTTACTAAGTCTCGATGTGCTCTTCTTTGAATCCATTTCAAAGCTAACCTATCAATAAACTATTAAAACGTGATGCGTTAAGTTGAGAACTTGGATATCTATCACCTGTCGTCTGTATTTCCAGTAGCAATAAATGTAAAAAATTATTGCGCACGAGGACACCAGGAAGTAAAGTTCGGTTAAATGACATTTCTGTTTGACAAACTGTTTGAGACGATATATAGAGATGTACAGCTGTAATTCATTTAAACTGGGTTCGCGTTAGTGGGTATAAAATAAGGGAGAAAACGAAAACGATAAAATATTTTTAGATGTTACGAGTTACTTAATATGTTTAGTTGCTTCCGACGCACACGGTAGCAAGACATGCAATTCCTCGGTAGAAATAAATTATGCTATACGAAATGGTAACTAAACGAGTCTATAAAAAAAAGTTCACTACATCGAAAGTTAATGAAAACAAACATAACATCAGGTATTAAAAGAAAAATGGCACAAGTAGAACAATTGTGGCGATTTTTCAGTAACAAAAGTAACAAGTAAAAAATTGTACACAATCTCTAGAAAAATAAATATTAAAAAGATTAACTTAATTGGTCCCTTAAATTATGGATCACAGCCATTTAAAATGCAAGCTTGCAATTGTTTCTTACCGATAGGTAAAAAAGGTCACTTTATATTTCTACTATCACTCTCTTCATCCGACTGCCGTTAAAGTGTTATGCTGAGGCCTGTGATCGCCGGTTCTGAAAATATTAAGCAAGTTAGAATTGTAAATTGACACCCATATTTTTAATTATTGGGAGAAGCGCAAATTATTTCTTAAGGGGGTATTCTGGTCTAGAAATTTGAAAAAATCGATTTTTTTTGCAATTTTTAAAGTTTAGACCTTCAAAAATATGTCCAAATGCAGATTTTTCAAAATTTGAATTATTTTCGGAGTTATAGCAACTTTTATAATGTGGCAACTAAACCGGTCGCGTCGGCCCGAGCTAATCGAACAATAGACGGTAGACGTCAATGAAACGTATTTTGTAGGAATCTTTTCCAAATTTTTTTTTCAAATCGTCGCCATTTTGCGAACTTTTTTTTTCTTTTTTTTTGCGAGGTCCAGATCAAGAATTTTTTTTATTTTTTTGTTTCAGACCACTACAACGATTGGAAAGATGTCAAGTAGGACGCACCTTTTTTCTTAACCCCCATTTCAATCGCCTGTATTGTTCTTTGAATTTTCGATTGTTTTTTTTATGTAATTTTTTTTGTATTTTGAAAATATCAATAAATTGGTTATAAAAAAATGAAGAGTAAAAATGTTTTTAATTTTTTTTTTACCCTACTTGGAAAAATCGCTCAAATTTAGGCCTCTAGAACAGAATACCCCCTTAAGCATGCATATAATTAAAAAATTCAAAATCTGGTGATTCTATTTTACACTTTTCCTAAAATATTGCGCACAAAATAATTTTTAATAAATTAATTGAATAATCGTAATAAATCTCTGTTCAGGTGTTAGTACTCACTCAAATGGACAACACTGGTTAATGTTCTACTTGTACAAGCATATCGAATTTAGAAACGTGCACACTTACCGAGTCATTTAGTTAAAAGTTAAAGGCATTCAATTGAAAATTAAAAAGTATATATACAGAGTGTGACTTTAAGTGGGGGTCAGTTTTTTAGGGGTAATAGCACATATTCCCCTGAATTCCTTCTTTTTCGATCAAATAAATAGTAAAGTTATAATTAGTTCTTTAAAATGCACTTTAATACTTGTGTACACCGCCACTGTAATCATGTATTACAAATACATGAATTGTAGGCAACCTTCAATGTATGTGAAGGGAGATAGTGCCGGTAAACGGTGACGAAGCGAAGGGCGTCAGTTCATTTGTTCCGCGTGCCGATATTTGAGGTTACACTAGCTTCTCCAGCAGNCAGAATAACTGTCATGGTAGCAGCTAATATGAGTGGCACAGAGAAAAAGAAATTGCTCATTATTGGAAAGTCACAAAAACCAAGATGTTTTAGAAGTGTCAAATCATTACCTGTCGATTATGCTAACAATCGTAGAGCTTGGATGACGTCAGAACTTTTTGAAAAATGGCTTCGAGATTGGGATCGTGATTTGGTGAAGATGAAGAAAAAGATTTTATTGCTGGTTGATAATTGCCCGGCGCATCCAAATGTTACTGATTTAAAGTCTATAACACTTGCTTTCCTTCCGCCGAATACAACATCAGTACTACAGCCAATGGATCAGGGAATAATACGATCACTGAAAACGAATTTTAGAAAGAACCTTGTGCTCAAAATGATTAATTGTCTTGATGCTAATGAACACAACTCTTCTACAAAAATAACGGTGCTAGATGCAATTCTGATGGTCAATGATGCCTGGAATAAAATGTCACAAAGTACCATTCACAACTGTTTCAAACATGCAGGATTCATTGAAAACCACGACGGTTTACCTATTCAAATATCAGAACATGAATTTGATGAAGAAGATGACGTCCCTTTGTCTTTGTGGTCACGAAACCTAAATTCAGATTCTTTAGCAGCACCGGAAATGTGGGAAGATTATGTTGACATTGATAGCGCTCTCCTCACATCCGAAGAACCCACCGATGAAAATATCGTACAGAACATTAATGCTAAGGAACAACTCGAAAGTGATGGGGAAGAGGAAGTCGAGGAAGAACCATTACCTACCGCAGAAGAGGCATTAAAAGCTGCAGAATTATTATCACGATTTGTTCATAGCAATATTGAAAATGATAATTTGACCATAGCGATGTCTTCTATACACAATAGTATTAGAGATTGTTTTTACAATAAAATGAAAAAACAAAAGCAGACAAAAATTACAGATTACTTACATTAAAAAATACTTATTGCGTGCAATTACGTGCAATTTTTATTTTGATTTAATATGTATGTAGTTACTATGTTTCTCTATTAAAATACTTAAGTACATATTTACATAAAAAAGGTTTTTTTTTTTCACAGTATGCTTTGTATGACGTCCGCTTATTATGACGTGTTTGTCAATTCCTTTCGATGTCATTATAAACGGATTCCACTGTATGTCCAAATGCGGATTATTCAAAATTTGAATTATTTTCAGTTATAGCAACTTTTATAATGTGGCAACTAAACCGGTCGCATCGGCCGGAGCTAATCGAACAATAGACGGTAGACGTCAATGTCAATGTAACGTATTTTGTAGGAATCTTTTCCAATTTTTTTTTTCAAATCGTCGCCATTTTGTGAACTTTTTTTTTCTTTTTTTTGCGAGGTTCAGACCATAGCAGCGTCTTTACTGTTCAAGATTTTTTTTTATTTTTTTCCTTTCAGACCACTACAACGGTTGGAAAGATGTCGAGTAGGACGCACCTTTTTTTCTTAACCCCCATTTCAATCGCCTGTATTTCTTTTTGAATTTTCGATTGTTTTTTTTTGTATTTTGAAAATATCAATAAATTGGTTATAAAAAAATGTATAGTAAAAATGTTTTTAATTTTTTTTTTACCCTACTTGGAAAAACCGCTCAAATTTAGGCCTCTAGACCAAAATACCCCCTTAAGCATGCATATAATTAAAAAATTCAAAATCTGGTGATTCTATTTTACGCTTTAATTAATTGAATAATCGTAATAAATCTCTGTTCAGGTGTTAGTACTCACTCAAATGGACAACACTGGTTAATGTTCTACTTGTACAAGCATATCGAATTTAAAAACGTGCACACTTACCGAGTCATTTAGTTAAAAGTTAAAAGCATTCAATTGAAAATTAAAAAGTATATATACAGAGTGTGACTTTAAGTGGGGGTCAGTTTTTTAGGGGTAACAGCACATATTCCCCTGAATTCTTTCTTTTTCGATCAAATAAATAGTAAAGTTATAATTAGTTCTTTAAAATGCACTTTAATACTTGTGTACACCGCCACTGTAATCATGTATTACAAATACATGAATTGTAGGCAACCTTCAATGTATGTGAAGGGAGATAGTGCCGGTAAACGGTGACGAAGCGAAGGGCGTCAGTTCATTTGTTCCGCGTGCCGATATTTGAGGTTACACTAGCTTCTCCAGCGGCAGGGTACTAACATTACTAAAAACGGGTAAAAAAAAAATTAAGTTTTTACGACGGAATTTGAAAAAATAAACAATTGATACATGTTTCTAAAGGTCAAAGGAAGCCTCTGTATAAATATGACCCCCTCGAAAAGTTGCGCCCCGTATAAACGATAAAATCAACTAATCCTCTGTAATTGTGATAGTAGCGATTATTATTTTTAACTTTTCTATTTGGAAGTGGCTACTGTAGAAATTTCAGGCAGAAGTTAAAACGTGAGCTAAAACGAAAAACTAAAGGTCCAACGCTCAAAGTGTACAACCCGATACCTGTAAATGGAAGATGAGGATGTCGACCGAGACCAAGAAACCAAAAACTTCTCACCTCTCCTGGCAGCCCTTCGTTCATAAATGAGCGCTCTGGTGACCTCGTCTGGAGCTAAAACCGTTTGACTAATCCTATATAATAACCTGAAACAAATATTGTGTACAAATTAAATGCTGAATAAAAATAGACAAGAAACTAATGAAGCTTAAGGAACTAAAAGTCTGATTTTTTTGAAGATGCAAAATCAGGTTGAAAAGAATTTTGAAATATCGCAATGGGCGCATCCGAACGGATTCTAATCTACTCACCTAGGTAATAGGGCCACGACACAGGACAGCAAGGTGACCAGCCAATATTGCGGCCTCCCCATAGCGACCTGTATCGTCCAGTACGTACTTGGCAGTCCGAAACAATTCACGCAGTATGCATTGTAAGTGATGGAGTACAGGTAGAAAGCCCCAATGGAAAACAGTATAGAAGCCAAGTGTATTACCGTCTGAAAAACAACAAAGGTTATTAGATAATCATCGTACCGTTCCGGGGGATACAGGTACAGGTAGTAAACTCACCCATGAACGCATTTCAATGGCGGCATGCAGCAGCATAACAAACATGCAGGCAGTAGTAGCTGTTGTACCGAATTCAAACATATCTATGTCTGTGTCATTATATGCCAGCTGGCAGAGGAACAATATGCACGTACTTTGATAGAAGGCGTCCAACATCGTGAGCCAAAAGGAGTACGATCTGTAGACTTTGCCCAGACGGCCCCTTCTGTATAAATACGGTTTCTCCAGAAGAACGTGGGCCGGAGCGTCTTGATCGTAAACACCTGGAATTTATGAGAATGCATAAACGGTTATAAAAAATTACTGAAAATGCAGAGCGAGCCTTATTTATTCCGATAATAAAGAAGTGATTCTTTGGTTTAATTTATGGAAAAAGTTCCTTATCACGCTACAAAGAGGAAACGGAAAACTATAAAATTGAAGAATATTAACGATTTTACCAGAGATGTAATAGGGCGCACAATTTATAATATGTATAAAGAAAATAAAGATCCTACTTTAACCATGATTCAAGATAAATTAAGCGATTATCCTGATTATAATTATAAATCATTTAAACATAAAAAACTTGACAATCGTATGGTAATTATGGAATCACAACTTATAGCTGCACTTCAGCAAGATTATTTACAAAAAATTAGAGAATATTGTCAACTGAATAGGAATATAGCTCGGAATATCGTACAGGGTGTTTTTAAATAAAGTAGCAAAAATGGTACCAGTGAATGTAGACCCAAAAATAAGAGGATTGAAGTAAAAATAACTTATGAAAGTTGCACCCCTGAGGCGATATACCCTCTTAAAGGAGGATATTGAAATTCACATTTTAATTTCTTTCTTTAACATGGGGAATGCTAGAGACACGAAACTTGGTATAAGCGTCCTACTAATAAAGACACAACTTTTCAATATTTGTTCGATCATTGGCGTATTTTATAAAGGAGTGAATCAGTCGACCCCATTGCAATATTTTATTAGAAATTTTTTGTATGAGGCAAATTATTTATTTAAAAATATTTATTGGGAATACTGATTTATTGCGCAACTTTTTTACCTCTTGTAATTTTTCGATAAAACCAATAGTTTTCTAGTAAAAAATTAGATGTGTCATCGTTCACTAAAGGGGTAATTACAAAAATTTATAAAAATAAAGTAGACGGACGTTATAACAAATAAATTGTTATTTATCATATCAATAAATTGACACTTTCTGTCAACCAATAATTAGTAGCAATTGATTAATTTAATATCAGAATAATTATGGCAAATAATATTTATACCAGTGACGAATATGTCGACATGCTCCAAGTGTTTTTCGAATCCATAAAAAATAGTAACACTGCAGTAAGATTATACCACCAAAGATATCCAAAGCGACCGATTCCTCATAGACAAACATTAGCCTCGGTGGAAAAAAGGCTTCGCGAAACCGGTAAAATTCAGCCCAATCATGAGGGTGCCAGAAGGTGTAATGTCCAAACTGTTGAAACTGAGGAAGCTATACTGGAACATCTAGAACAAAACTGTGGTACAAGCACAAGACAGGTGTCCAGGCAACTGCAAGTTTCTCACAGTCTTGTGTGGAATATAACTCATGAAAATCTTTTATACCCTTTTCACCATCAACCCGTGCAAGAATTGAATGACCCTGATTTACCAAACAGCGTGGATTTTTGTCAATGGTACATTAATATTTCCAGACATGACTTAAATTTCCTAATTAATATACATTTCAACGATGAAGCAAATTATCCTAGAGTAGGTGTAGTAAACCTCCATAATGTTCATTCATGGTCGGAAGAAAATACTCATGAAATATTTGTTTCAAGATGTCAACATAATTTCAGTTTAAACGTTTGGATAGGAATTGTAGGAAATACTCTAGTAGGATTCTTCCACACAGGCTTGGAGTGGTCGAGAACCTTAGGTTTTTTAACGAAAATCTTCCAACATTACTTGAGGATGTACCCCTTGCTACATGTCAGGTGATGCGGTATGTGCAGGGTGGGGCGCCTGCACCTAGGACACTTGCCGTTAGAAAATGGTTAAATTTAAATTACCCGAATCGCTGGGTCATGGTCGTAATGTCCCTGTTTGTTGGCCTGCACGTTCACCTGACCTAACACCTATGGATTTCTTTTTGTGGGGATACAATAAGTATTGTTTATGCCACTCCTGTTGCCTCCTTAGAAGAACTACGCTTAAGAATATTAAGAAAATAGAAATTATTTCGAGAATATTCTTTAAATTTCATTTTGCATTTCTTGTTTTTCGTTTGTATTAAATTTTGTTTCAGATAAATAACTTTACCTAATACATGTCCCATAGTCATAAGTTATCAAACATTTTTCATTAATTAATAGCAAATTATTCTTAACCCTTTCGCTGCGCAATACGTCTGAACGTAGCTACCGCGCCGTGCGCGAAAGTTTATCGCGTGCGAATATATACATCTGGAGCAGTTAGACCACTTATAGTTTTACATTATGTTGTGTCAAATTACAATTTATGATAAATTTTACGATTTTATTTTGAATAAAATATAGTATATGTACTAAATAGAAACTGAAAGAAACATGAACAATCTTGGTATTATTACCAGTACCTCTTTCCATAAAAATATTTGCCTTACCAATTGCAATAACCGAGTCACTAATGCGCATGGTTGCGAATATATACGGTTTGAGCAGCCTGATCCAATTTAACTATTCATGCGAATTAATCTATCTGGAGCAGTTTGAGCCCTATAAATTTTTAGCGAATATATACGTCTGGAGCAGTGAAAGGGTGAACGTTATTATTAAATTACCAGCTTATTGACAGAAAGTGTCAATTTATTAATATGATAAATAACAATTTATCTGTTACGACATCCGTCTACTTTATTTTTACAAATTTTCGCAATTACCTCTTTACTGAACGATGACGCATCAAATTTTTTTACCAGAAAACTCGGTTTTATCGAAAAATTACAAGAGGTAAAAAAGTTGCGCAATAAATCAGTCTTCCCAATAAATATTTTTAAATAAATAATTTGCTTCATATAAAAATCTAATAAAATATTGCAAAGGGGTTGACTGTTTCACTCCTTTATAAAATACGCCAATGACTGAAAAAATATTGAAAAGTTGTCTCTTTATTAGTAGGATGCTCATACCAAGTTTCCTGTCTCTAGCATTCCTCGTGTTAAAGAAAAAAGTTAAAATGTGAATTTCAATCCCCTCCTTTAAGAGGGTATATTTGTGACAAAAAAATCTATGTATTTCAACTAATAATATTCACATAAATCTTACCTATAGCTAGCGGCGGCAGAGAAGTGAACAATAAATTATACAACATAAGATACATCTGGTCAATCATAACGGTGCCGGAAAACCCACAAAATAATTGATACCAGAAGCAAAGGAACACAAAAGCCTGAAACAAAATAACTTGAACCTTGATTTCCTGATAACAAAGATATTAACTTACAGCGTTTTTATAAAAGAAGTACAGAACCATCCTGGAAAGACGGTCGTAACTCCAATGTCCGTGCACCAAGAGGAACGTTTCCAAATATTTAAACCGAGATATAGCGAAATCTGCGGCCATCACAGCTTGCATCCCCTCTTGACCGGATATTCCGATCCCTACATCCGCCGTCTGAATCATAGAAACATCGTTGGCCCCGTCACCTATCGCCAAAGTTCTCATTTTCAGTTCTTCCTTAACTACCCTCACTATATAAGCCTTCTGCAGGGGCGTCGCCCTACAACACAGCACCGAGTTGCAGTACGTAGACAATTTCAAGAAAGGTTTGGTCAAATTCGCCCTTTTGTCCAGGATGAAGGTGAGGGTCTTGCCGTCGACGGCCAACGCTCTAGTCTTGTTTCTCTGAGGCGTTCGTGAATAATTATAATCATCGATTGCACTAGTTGACGGTCTGTTATCGTCCGCATCCGCTTCATCTTTAATCTGTCTCTCTATCTCCGCCAGATAACAGTGAATGGTGGTTTCGGCGGCCTCTTTCGACCTCGCCATAAGCTTCAGTAATTCCATCTGCGGGGAGAACAGTTTGGCCGAGTAAGCGATATTTATAGCGGTCTCGGGTTTGTCCCCGGTGAGCACCCACACAACTATACCGGCCGCAAGCAGTGCAGAGAGAGTTTCCGGTACGCCTTCTTGCAGTCTGTCCTCAATTCCTACAATAAAAATCGTGTTTTTTTATACATTGAAAAAAATTTCATAATCTAATTTTACCTGTTGTTCCTAATAGTGTTAAGTTGCATTCGATACTGGAGTAACTATCTCGTAATTTTCTCTCAAGGTTATCTGAAGACAGCTCAGCCTCTTGATGTTTCCTGTACCATTCGTCATACTGGTGTTGAGTAATAACCCTCTTCGCCATGACGAGGACTCTTAAGCCCTCTCTCGCATAGCCGTTAAGGTGATGTTGGGTTTTATTAATGATCAGTTTCTGCTCGGAATCGTCTTCCACGGGTGTTAAATGTGGTAACATAGTTGTATCAGCACCTAGAATAAATAGTATTATTACTTTCAGATAAGTATATCGAAAAGAAACCCTACCTTTGCAGTATAAAACAATCTGATTTGTAAGGGGATTCCTAAAAATCACACTCATCCGTTTACGAGTTGAATCGAAAGGAAGAACGTTTAATATTTCGTAGTTTAGTTTCCCATCGGAAGGCGTCTCCACTGTTGCCACAGTGGGTGTGCGTTTGATTAACCGACAGCCATAATTGTAAGCGGCGTCTACTAAAGCCAATTCATCGGGGCTTTCAGCTTCATAAATCGGTTTAATATCATGAGGTGAAGGAGTGGTAGATCTCTGTTGATTTAACTTCACTTTCTGCTCATCCGTCAGATTATTTCCATTGTTCTTCTTTAAGAAGACAATGGAAGGGATGTTTAACAATTTCGGTCTCTGAGTTTTTGACGTTTGGTTCTGCAAACACTCCGAGGTGGGTGATGTATCGACAGAGTCAATCGGTGATAACGTAGGAATGTGTGCACTTCGTTTAGAATTAAGCAAGTAAGTATTTAAGGGCGGCGATGGAGTCACCGAACGGGATTCCTCTAGGCGAGTATACTTATCATTGGCAGTGAGAGATTGACTAGTCGAACTACTAGAGCTCTGTTCATCCGAAGCCTGGTCGGTTTTCTCGAAGAGATTTGGCTCTTCGATGATTCCTGCATAAAACATCACATTAGGGCCGGTTTTTCCATCTCTCAGTAATTTTTATTTGCGAAATAACAACCAGGGTTTTTCTATCATCAAACGGAATGAATAAAAAAAAAATTCTCTTTCGTAAAATTGTTTTTAAATGTTTTTTAAATGAAAAAACTATTAGAGCAAAGATGTTTTTTAAATAAGTACTAGGCACTACTCATTAATGGAAAAACTGGCTCTTTTAAGCGCACCACCTAAAATTACATTAATTGGAAACTTACCACTGGCATTCATGATGTCGTAATGCGGATGTCGAGAACACACTACGGTATTGCAGAGTGCCAGCAGCAGCAAAAATTCGTGAATTCTCGCAGAATGAGTGGGGCGAGTGCTGAAGATATTTTCCGACACTGTGCCTTCTTGGTGGAGATCACTGACTAAATTGGAGTTGACGACCACGCTTAAATTAGTTAACTTCCCATTGTTACCCTCATCTTCCATAGTGGGATGATCGTAATCAACGCCAGCGATGGCACATCGGCGAAATATCATTCGATTTTCAGTCAGAGTTCCCGTTTTGTCAGAGAATATGTACTGTATTTGACCGAGTTCCTCCGTGATATTTAAGGCACGACATTCAGTTCTTTTATCCATTACGGGGTCGTAGAGATCAACGTTGTGATGGATGTGGTATACTTGGATGATTTTGCACATCTCCAAAGTCACGTAAAGCGATAGAGGAATCATAATCTACGAGAAAGCATAACATTAATACATATTAAAATTGCACACTTTCTTTATTAAGTCTTGCACTGTTAATTTTCTTTAAAATGCGGAAATGGTTTAGCTAAGTCATCTTGGTCAAATTTCGTGTTGATCTTTGTCCAAAGTGATGTAACTGTTGGAAATAAGAATAAGAAATTATTTCTTTGGAAGTTTGCAACAACACATAATGATTTCAGTATGTATTTTTTCATTAACATCTAGTGTTTGTATAAATTTTATTTTTATTTTAGATAATTATTAACGATTAGCTTATCTATGGAGATGTTTCTTTAACATACCAAGGTATTTGATATCAAAAAGCATGTACGACCTCATTTGATGAGAATTTTACTGTTAAAGTAATTAAAAAATGACATTAGCTATTGAATGAAAAATTACCTGTAAAATAATAACAAATATCCAAAATGCTAATATGGCTTCAGTAGTCTCGTGGTTTTCTTGAAAGGGCGGCGGTAGATTTTCAAAAAAGCTCAACCATACTTTACACCCGATTGCGCCGAGCACACAAAGAAATATTAATATAAAAACACACCAAATCACATCTTGATTCATTTGTTTTTCTAGGGACGATCGTTTGTATCGTGGTCCGCCATTGTTTAGCATAGCTTTAGTTTCATGACCTACAAATGATATTTTAAAAGGGTTGCTAAGCTATTTGGAAACTATGTGTACATAAAAACCCAAGTGGTTAGAAAAATACCTGCATAAACTACAATTCCTTCCACAAAATCGGTATTTTTCAAAAGGCACTCCCTTAATAGTAAATTATCGGACCCTACAGGCACCCGTGCACCCGAGGGATGAACTATTGCACCGTGGAACCTATAAATTTTGGTTGTCGGAGCTTCTACTTCAATCGAACTCCGGAATTTACTAGGTTCAAAAAAATGTTGCTATAAACAAAACACCGTCAGTATCATATGACAATATAACTTAGCATATATCACCTTTTCTAAAAATCCTCTTGCCACTTGTCTCTGTTTGAGATTAGTTTCGCCATCTAAATGGCCTGTATCGATATAACACAGCCCGTTGGGATCACTGGATCGCAGAAGCAGTATGTCTGCCGGTACCACCTCATTGTTAGAAAGGTGAATTAAGTCCCCCACCCTCACGTCCTTCCACAAAACTTTTTTGTAACGGGAAGCCTCGCTGAAACAAAGACAATTTTTATATTACATTTCTTTTGCGATTCAATAAGCAATTTTTGAATTTATTTTTAACTTTTATCAAAGAAAGTTTGTTTTAAATGTGTGCAAAATCTACATAGATGTCGTTATTTTTACATAAACATTTGCCCATGTTGTAACATTAAGTGTGCCACAAGGTTTCATATTAAGACTTTTACTATACATTTTTATATAATGATATAGGTTACAAACTTAGCACGAAATTATATAAATAATGGAAGTATACAAGACTGTATCGAACTACAAATAAATCTTCAGTAGATTTATGTGTGGTGCATTACAAATAATCTTGAATTAAATATTTAAGAATGCAATTTCATGTTTTTTCAGTAATATCAGTATTTACAAAATGATATTCACATTTCTCCAGTGTAGATTTAACGATATGAAATTATCTTCTCCTCATGCAAATGCAATTATCTCTAATGCATTAAAATTGCTTGTCTTTATTATATAATCTATGTGAGACTTTACTAATATTGATATTAAAATCATTTTTACATCCTACCAGCGACCTAAACACAGCACAGCAAAATAATTAATAATAATGTTGATGCAACGAAAATTTTGGAATTTTTTATTCAAATTGGTTAAATTTACATTTAATTTGTAATTGTATTAGCTATGTCCTGTACAAAGAGTGACTGCAAAATGCTGTTTTTGAGACTTTGACACAGGCGACAGGAAAAATCCTAAAAATATTCTAAAAATATCCAAAAACTCGTCATGAAAAATGAAAATGAGCATCACTTTCAGTTTCTCGAAACTTTTCGAAAATCACCCTTATTTAGGGGTTGAAAGACAAAAAAGTGAACAAATTAATAAGAATCATGAACAGTTGTAAAGCCCCAAATATTTCTATGTTATCAAAATAATATTATGAACGTTAAAATATCTAATTTCGTATTTGATACGGGCTTGTCCGGATTGAAAAATCAGCTCATAATATCCCTAAAGGGGTGAAATCATCCCCTAAACGCCTAAAAATGCAAAAAATATATTAAGTTACAATTTTTTTTCTTTTTCTTTTATACGTGATAATTGAACCGTCAATAACCCAGAATCACTAGATCCTAAGGAAAATACACCCAAATGAGGGTAAAACCACCCCCAAGTTCAACCATCGGCTTCAAAGTACATAAAATAATTATAATGCATGAAAAAATAATGTTTCGAAATACATTCATTAGAATTTTTATACACAAGTACTCTCATACATTATCAATCATTTTCAAAAATAATCATCCCTCTCAAGGGATAAAATATACAAATATTGTAAATAATGTGAAAAAAAAATTAATATTTTAATTTTTTTCACATTATTTTTAATTTTTGTCTTTTCAACCCCTAAATAAGGGTGATTTTCGAAAAATTTTCGAAAAACTGAAAGATACTCATTTTCATTTTTCATGAGTATTTGGATATTTTTTTAATATTTTTAGGATTTTCCCTGTCGCCTCTGTCAGTCTCAAATCAGGCGGAAAAATGGATTTTTTGCGGTCACTCTTTAGTTAGTGCATCTCTTTCGGTTCCAAAAATTCAATATACATATAGGTAGGTATGTTTTCAGCCACGAAAATTGAATAATTCTAAATATTTCGAATTTTCACCACCAGTAACGAAGGTGACAACTTTTTTAACAGTAAGGGGATGTTTTGCATTGTATTAACTACGTCCTGTTCAAATTTGGTGAGTGCATCTCTCTCGGTTGCAAAAATTCAATACGTATATTAAGTTTCCTTTTATATAAGGTGCTGACAAAAAAACGCATGAGGTACATATTTTCAAAAATATGTAGGTATCTCATTTATTTCATACATATGACTAAGGGGTCATTGACACAAGATAATTAAAGATCAAAGAAATAATATATCTATGTATAGCAATACAATGTATAGGTATTATGATTTTTATGTATGAAAACATAACTGAAGTAAGTACCGATGTAATTATGTATAATTTGGGTAGTCATTTCCTGCACCTATCATTCACATTTTCTACATTTTACATTACACAAAAACTCGAAATATAAAATAATTATTATACTTTTTTGATCAGCTTTTTTATACACATAAAACTTATGTTTGATAGTTTTGATTAAATAAATATGTCTATTACGTATATGCCATTTTCAAGCCGTGCCATGGGAATCTCTGTTATCTTAACAGATACAAACTCGATGAAATTAGATAACGACAAAAATTGCATTTTTAGTTGACGTTGTTAATGAAAACTAAATATCTCACTAACGAATAATGACTACTTTTTAATTTTGAGCCTTGCAACTTTTTAAATAATGTATGTTTTATTAGGGAAATGAAAAAACAAAATACTTTTGTCTGCTGTGTAACGATACTCGTATTTCATTGTGCACCATGTATAGAAATTTCAGTTTTTATATCCGCTACAGCATGATTTCCTAGTAAAATACCAATAAAACAACGCGATTGGGTTAAATTATATATTTATTCCTGTAATCGAGTTGTAGTCACGCAATGTCAAGTAAACAGCTACGTAACAATAATTAATACAGTAGTTGTAAAGCTGGCGCAATTTTTATGGTTAAATTCGTGTTATTTCATTTCACGTTGGTATATCTGTGGAGTGGGAGATCCGCAACAGTAACATAACGTTTTTTACATGAAATATAGGTACCCATAGATTTTAGTTTTTTTACTGCTGAGGACTATTATAAGTTACGTTGAAATTTAAATAAACAATTATTTAATATTTTTTACCTAAATATCACAGTCAGAAATAAGTAAGGAAACTTTGCGAAATTTAACGCATCAGATGTTTTTTTGTATTATATTGAATTTAAACATCGAATAAATCAGTATAATTTTCCAAACTACATTTAAACGGTTGTTATTGATTACCCTGGTTATATTTAAATAAAATACAAAATATTCAAGTTGTACGTAACTTTCTTGGAAAGTCGAAATTCTCGTGTAAGGCTACAAGGAAAATTCATATAAATCAAATATTCTGTCAAATAAACATGTAAATGCGAATAAAATAATTTCAACTATTTGGCACGAAAGTTAGGTAGATGTTAAATATTAAATTCGGGTAAATAATTCGAGAAATAAGTAGATTCTGTGGGAATTTATCATTATGCCTAATATGTAAATAGTAAACTATTCGATGGAAATAATCAGTTTCCTTTGATTGATTGATCACCAACACAGGTGTACCTACTTAGTATAAACAGATATAACCCATTTAAATATATCGTCCTTACATTAACCTTCTATTTCCAAGTTTTCCAGGTAGATTCGAAACAATTTCCAGTTTGTGAAGATATAAATCAGTTTATACTTTTCAATTATCACATACATTTTTTGTCGATATCTCCCATGTAAATATTTAACACAGTATTTAGGATTTTAGAAAAAAACATTTTCTACTAACAATTTTTGCTTGTCTTCATTAAGAATACGTTGCCTACCCCGTTATGTAAAGCTGAGGATAATAAAAAGTTTCCGACCCACTGACCTGCTTATGGTCGTTTATAAAACAGGGATCTATCAGGTCCATCCTTTAAACATTTTAAGTTGGAAAACTTTTTTGTCCACCGCTGTACCCAGTAAGCGTATTTGGACTCCTACGAAACATACCTAATAACGGACTGTTAACAAATCTGTGACATTAGTCCACATACTTCTATCCTATACTAGATAGATAGAAGTATGTGCATTAGTCGAGCAAGTATCACATAAAGTATGTGGCAAGTATATCTTCGTTTGAAATCCATGTCACGATCTTTGACATTAACCTTATCAAAATATGTTTACCAAAGCGAAAATTGTTCGCCATAGGCGTAATACTCATAAGAGGTCAAGGGTATGACATGTCAGACTGATAACAATAGGACAATGAAAAAAATCCTTCTTATCTATTTCCCCCCTTGATTCCGTATTTCAAATGTCTTTTCGTTAGCGTCGTGTTCCTCAATTCATTATCACTATTTATTTTTTGCTCACTTATTTGCGAATAACATTTATAAAAAGTTTTATCCTGCTATTTCACTTTTTTAAGAAAACGCAAATAGCAAATAAATAAACAACACTTTCGTTAGAAATTTCAAACTTACACTATATTCATCAACTTTTTGTGCTGAATTCATTTAGGAAAAATTTTTGAGAAAAATCCATAAAACGACATTCTTTTGAAATAACGCCACCTATAGGTTTCCATATTGAGGTAAATTATATTACGCATTCACCACGAGATAAAGCATGAAAAGACCTTTTCAACGAGGTATAACACTGTAGGTTTTTGATGAGCCAATCCTTAAAAAAATGTTTCTGATAAGACATTAGGGGCTTCCCCCACCCTTTCTGTCGAGAGATAGAACAAAATGTCAATGACAAAAGTTATGCGCAACGAATCCGGCTATCCATATTTGTACTATTTAATATAGTAGTACTATAGTATACAGGAAACATTTCTGAGAAAAATTCAACTCTATGTTTTGGGATGTAGACTGCGCCCCCTAGCGGCCGAGCTACGAACTGGAAAACTGTTTCCGGATATATCTCTTGGTCGATTTATTAATCAAAATTTTTTCCCGAAGCTCTAGGGTCTATACTTTCTCTAATATCCTACCTCGCCGACCTTAGTGTATATTACCGACCCTGTATATTAGATGATTCAGACTCACATTATATTATGTACACAGCGACAATAACATATGCCTTGTAATAATCCAAGCTTTGTGTAAGCGCCATCGGGGTGATTACCTACAGCTTATCATAATGTGTATCTTACAGGGTAGTTTAAATTACATGGTGGAGAAATGTAATTTGAAGGTAGGACATAATTTTTTCACAGAAGAACGTGTAAGTAAGAATTAAAATCTTCCGACAACTACTCTTTTCCTCATATTCTTCCATATATTATTGTAAAAATGAATATGATTCTGTTTCTATTAGTGTCATAGTCTTCAACCGCCCCAAA